GGGCCGGTGAGGCGGTAGCGAGCCGGCGTTTCGCCATGTGCCGTCCCCTGCCTGCAGGTATCGTCGGGGGGAGGCGCGGGGGCCGCGGGCGGCGGCGGGGGTGCGGGGCTGAGCCCCCGCCCGGGGTGCAGGGGGGGTTAAGGGTGAGGTGAAGGATGGAGCTGCTGTTCTTCAGTAGGGCTGGAAACCTTCCGGAGGGGGCTGCCCGCTGGGGACAGGCTTTGGGTAGCCCGGTCAGCCTGCCACATCGCCCCGGGAAGGGAAAAAGGGACAGGAGCCGGCTGGCGAGTGGCCGGGGTTGCCCGTGTAATACCCAGGGGGAAATACTGACCTCTCTTTAAGGGGCAGCATAATTTCTTAGAGAAAGCCTTAAAACTTAACTTGACCAAACCCCTGGAAATATATAGGCATGCAGTCTCATACGGAAAACTAGGAGGTACTTTAAGACTCGTAGAAGGCCTTAAGGAAGACTTCTATACCTCCGTGTCATGTTATCTTAAAGGCACTTTGGTTTATTATGAACTCTGTTAAGTTATATAATTATTTTTTTTCTCCATGTGAGACTCTTCCTCTATTTCACGTGCGGTAACATTGAAAAAAAGCTGATATTAAAGTACACGGTCACTTTTCATGCTGCCACATTTGAAATAGCATGAACCCACTATTGCAATAAAATCTTTTTGGTTGGAGGAAGATCACTAGAAGTCATAATTTCAAAAATACCAAATGTTGGGAGAGCTACCTGTAGCGTATCAGCAAATTATGACAATTACTCTTGTTAAGAGTTGCCTGATTTTGGTTTTTTTCCCCCCTCCTCATACCCTGAGAATTGTGTGTGTGTATGTGAGGTGGGGATGTGGTGTTTTTTTTAAGTATCCTTTTTGTAAAGCAGCATTATAAATAGATGTTGTTCTAGTATATTTCGTTGTATGTGTCAGCAGTAATTGACAGATAGTAATTCCTGATGTGAATTTTATGGATAATGCACAGTAAAGAAGAAAATACAATTTATCTTGTGTGGTATTGAAAAGGTAGCAACGCCCTGCCCTTAAAAACATAAAATCAGCAAGCTCTTTAAAAAGAGGACAGTTGAAAGTATGTAGAACTGAATGTGGTGTTATGATTAACTGCCATGGTATTAATCATTATTAATCTGTTCTCTTAATAGAATTATCTTCACAGAAGAAATTTGATGAAATTAAGAAGGCAAATCAGGCTGCAGCAAAAAAGCTAGTTGAAGACCAATTTAGTTCCTCATCTGAAGATGATGATGAAGATGCTGAAATAAAACAAGGAAAGATTTTGGCCAAAACATTTACCATTTACACCAGTCAAACTGGTAATTTTTTTTCATTTATTGACTTTTATTTCAGTATGAAAGCATAAGCAATACTGTATTATTTGCTGTGTATTAGATTTTTTCAATAATTTGAGAGAAAGCACTTTATTCTGATGTCTTGTATAAAAAATATTTGTTCCTAGCAATGCATGCTGGCAGGACTTCTTGCCTTTTTATTGCAGAATCAATGGCATAGTTTTGAAACTGTCTTAAGTACTTCTAATAATGTGGTTTTATAGTAATATATGACTGGCCTCCGTTCAGAGAAAAAAAACAACAACCTTTTAACAGCAGTCTCAACATGTACAGAAGAACAGATCAAACATTACTGATTGCTTTAAAAATCTTTATATATTAAAGATGGAGATGCAAGTGAGCTGGAACGTACAAGACAGTACATGAATGAAGCTTTTCAGTCGGGGGCCATGACATGTCTGATCTGCATTGCTTCAGTTAAAAGGAACCAGGCAGTAAGTATTTTACAGTAGTCTCATTTTACTTAATGTCTCCTGTTTAGCTTTAGTTTTGGGAAGCTAGTTACTGTACTTTTAGAAACTTATGTCATTGACTTTGTCCTCTGTAAGTTAATGCGGAAATTATCCTTGTTTTCACAGTTTAATAACTTTCATGAGTTATTAAAAATATAAAGTGTGTTGATATGTGGAAAGTACCAAAGTCATAAAACTGCATTTCTGTTATTTAAATTGCTTTTCAGCAGCAGGCTGATATTCTAAGCAAAGTACTGTCATTTCACTTGAGGACTGACAGGAAAGGACACTGGAAGCAAAATCATAAAGGTTTAGTGATGGAGACAGGATATGGGCAAAACCAGCACTCTCTTAGACATGTTTGCTTTTAATTCTGTTCCGTTTTATGCCTCTCTTGCTCTTTGAACAGAAGACACTGTGTTGAAAGCCACGCTTCTAATCAAATCTTTTTTTCTTACAAGCATTGTATATAAATCCTGAAGTTTGAAAGAGGGGGGAAAAAAACCCATTTTTAGTCCTTTTATTACCAAGATGTCTGGAGACCTAGAGCAGGGGATGGAGAGAGGTGGAGGGAGAGCTGGGCTTGTTTAGTCTAGCAGAGAAGCAGCTAAGGGATGATATGGTTGCAGCCTCTGTCTGCTTGGAGTTGTGAAGATGGCTAAAACCAAAGGCATCTTCGTGGTGTAATAAGGGGCAGTGGCACAAACTGGGGCTTGGGAGGTGCAGATTGGCCATTAGAAAGGTAGTACGACACCTGGACCAGGTTGCCCAGGATGGTTGTGGAGTCCCCATCCTTCAGGATTTTCCACCTTTGCCAGGCAAAGCTATGACTGATCAGTTGGCAGTAGTCCTGCTCTAGGCACCGAGTTGTGCTATGTGACCTCCCACAGTGTGTTTACATCAACATTTCTATGATTATATGAGTATTTTGGGCTCCATAAGCCTTGGCAAAAACTTCCCACGGCAGCAGGAAAAAACATTGTAAGTATGAATCTGTAACTGTGAAACAGCCTGTATTAATCTACCAATAGGTATAATCTATCTTTGAAAACCTATTTTTTTTAAAGGAAAAACAGCATGCTTGTATTTCTTTAGATATTATTGATGTTCGTCAATGGAAACAGAAAGAAACCTAATAAAAAGCAATTGGCATTTAAATCTGCTCTGTAGGTCTGGAGCTGTTGTGGATGCTTTTGTATATTTCACCTGGTGTGTATCCAAAAGTGGGCCAAGGACAGCCTTTTCCTTGTGTCTTCTCCTCTGACGGATGATGATTTTGGGAAGAAAGATTATCCCTGGCCATGGTGAGCTCTTCATGGTACATTTACAAACATACTTTTTATTGTGAAAAACATGAATTATCTTCAAGTTTTCATTAACATGATTCAGGAATATTTCACAGTGGTGTCAAAAACCTACTGCATCAAATTTGTTTTAACCTCTGAGAAGGTAACACCTATCATGTGCTTCAGCTTCTAATCTTTATTTCTGAATGGCTTTACGTGCATGTCACTTTTAAAATTGGCACGGTCAAATTATTAAATTTTAAAAAGCAGTTCTAAAACAGCAAGATTTAGGGATTTATTTAGTTATTTATTTTTAGTCTCTGTATAACTCGAGCATTAAAGCCAGTCTTGCAGTTTTACATGAGTTTGTGTAAAGGAGGAGTTGATACTGTGGCTGCATGAATAATGAAGCTTGCTTTTTCAGTAGATTTTTGTTTAGAAGTTCTGTCAAGGTGCATGTTTGTCCTATGGTTATTTGTCCACCTACTTTTATGTGGAAACTTGTATCTTTTAGATGCAATCCTCTGTCAAATTTGGTTGAAAGTGCCTAGTGGATTCAAAAGCTCTATTAATGTGGGATCTCAGAGAGCAGGTTTGCTTAGGAAATAGGGTGTAAAATTGTTGGCTCGCAGCATCTCAAGTTGATAATGCTTATTCTGCTACAAACTAGTTTTCTGTTTAAGCATCATGTAAATGTATTTTGTGTAAGTACGTAAAACTGTGTAGTTGCTATGGAGAAATGGTTTATAGGCTGTAATTATATAGGGAAAATTGATGTTTCTGATAAAAATAAATACATAGATCTGTCAAAGCCTCTATTATTCTTTGAGGAGGAGCTCCGTATTTGCTGTCTTTTCCCAGTGTAGCCAGAAATGGGAGCTGCTCCATTTCTCCTTCCTTGTGTTGGCTCCCTTGTCCATGGCTTTCACCTGAAAGCCTTTAGGGCCTGTGGGCTAACAAATTCCAGAGCTTTGATGCCTGTCTTCCTTTAGTAGTAATGTATTTTTAAATATCTGTCACTATAAAGGATAACAAATAAAGGTGTGCATCTTGTAATATCTAAGATGCTGAACTGGTACGACCTAACATCTTTCTGATAATATTTTAATTATTATGCATAGTTTTAATAGCATCGTTAAATCTTGCTTTGCATAGCTTAGAAATTGCTACTGGTAAAAACCTGGGTTTTAATCTCTCTTTTTTATTGGTTCTTTTTGCTTGTTTAAGTAAGTTAACTCTTTGTTGCATGCACTCCTTTGGTATTGCTTGACATAAAAATTATTCTGCATGCTTGCTACACTCTTTTTTTTTTTTTAATTATTCTTAGAGAAAAGACTGCAGTGATAGGACAATTCCTTAGACATATTCTAATGAATGTATTGTAAAATCTGACATATAGCAAGAACTTTGTTGTAGATTATGAATTTAATTAGATTGTTATTGGTTACAGTAGTTGTAAAAATGTTAATTGGTAGCCTGGTAACAATCTTGGGAAACCGAAATGATAAAAAGTGCTTTTCTTTTTAAAAAATTCTTTAAAAATTGCTTTGTTTTTCACTCCCTTTTTCTCTTGTTGTAGTCCAAAATGTAGGTTTGAATACAAACGGTCTGAAACTCCCAGTAGGTATTACTGTTACTGTGGAAAAGTGGAGAATCCAACACTGGACCCATGGCTGGTACCTCACTCCTGTGGCCAGATCTGTGAGAGGGAATTCAAACCACCTTGTGGCCATAAATGTTTGCTGCTTTGTCATCCAGGTACATCTCTCGGTTGCATGACCTGTGTTTATGTAGCAGTTTTACTTCAAGTCTGCTATTCTCAGAATAAACCAGACGTAGTCAGGGTTGCGTTTGCTGAATTAACGAGGCGTTGTTTTTCCTGTACTTAGGACCCTGTCCACCTTGCCCAAAGATGGTGACAACGACCTGCCACTGCAGGAAAGCCAAAGCAGTGCCCCGAAGGTGCAGTGCCAAGGAGTGGTCCTGTCGCCTGCCCTGTGGACGGACGCTGCTGTGTGGACAGCACGCTTGTGAGAACCCCTGCCACGCAGGTAGACCTGCCGCCTTAAACTTCAGAGGGGGAGTTAATTGTCAAGATAAGTCTTTCTTTAGCAATTCCTACACTCAATGTCCCTTTGTGATTGCGTACAGGAGACTGCCAGCCTTGCCCTCGAGTCAGTAAGCAGCGGTGCATCTGTGGCAGGCAGACAGCAGAAAGGCTTTGCGCGAGTCCTCAGTGGCAGTGTGATCAGGTATGTTGAGGCTGCCCTTTTTAGCTCACTTCTCATCTTTATAAAGCTTGATTAATCAGAGTGTTCAGGATTGGAATAGCGCATTCAGTAGGAAAATAATTTTATTTTGTAGGTTTTGAAAGTGCAATCAAAAACGTAAGCAACAGTGTTTGAGAACGGATCTACTTGGTGTCACAAGTCATTTCTGACACTAGTTAAAATGTCACCGTTCTGGAATTGTGCTAGGGTTAAGCTAGCAGTGAGTTTGCCCTTGTGTGTTCTGCTTTCTTGCACTTGAGGTTGAAACTTCAGCTGCTATCTTCAAAAATAAGCATGAAACCACAACTTAGTAGATAAGAGTTTCATGCTTGTTTACTTCTAGTGACTGTAACAGAATGAAAGCTTTGTGATTCATTCTTTGAAGTAGATTTGCAGCTCATTCTTAGGACCGAGGCTATGGAGTGACCGACTGGAAAAAAAAAAAAAAAAATTAAAAAATTAAGGAGGTTGCACCAGGAGGTACTTTGTTCATTACAATCCCAGTAGTAAAGGCACTCAGCCTCTGTAAAGTGTCAGTTAAAATGCGATTTATTCCAGCTACTGCTGTAGAGAAAGGGAGTATAATATAAATAGTAGTATGGCCCTTTAGATGCTGAGAAGCCCAAGCTGTGCAGCACTGAATGGGCCTCTGATCCATGTGCAGCATGCAGTGCAGACCCTGTCTGTAAGAAAGGGTTACCCCGGTTTGATTGCTGAAGCTATTGTAGGATTTTGTTACAGGAAAGCAACTCTGTTCATCCTTTCTACTGTCAAACAGAAAGGATGTTCTCATGGGAACTCCTTGCTGTCCTCTTAGATAAAGGCAAGGACATGCAGGTGGCATAATCACTGGGACCAAGTGGGAGCTGCCTCCAATCTCCTCTGTTACAGTATGTTTACCCTGTGGCTCAGGGGTACGTGCAGCACAACACAGGCCTGAAGGCCAGACTGTACGTGCAGAACATCACAGCCCTGGGACTACTCAGGCTGTTATTAGAACCACGAACTCTTCAGTATACAGTGGTCTTCCAGTCAGGATCACTGCAGGGGTGATCAGTTTTATTTGGGAAACTCAATGAATATAAGATTTGTTAATAAAATTCAGAAAAATTTAAATTCCACACGGATGTCTCTACCCCTAGTTTTTCCCCTTGAGTTGCTTTGTCTTGGCACGTGGCTCCATTACGTTGCATTTACTTGGTTTATCTGAGTTTTTTCCAGGTGTGTGGGAAACCTTTGCCTTGTGGTAATCACACGTGTGAAAAAGTCTGTCATGCTGGTCCCTGTGGAGACTGTCCTCGTTCTGGGAAAAGGTCCTGTCCGTGTGAAAAATCAAGTAAGCTGTGCTTATTTTTTTCTTTTTTCTTTTTCTTTTTCTTTTTTCTTTTTCTTTTTCTTTTTTCTTTTTCTTTTTCTTTTTCTTTTTCTTTTTCTTTTTCTTTTTCTTTTTCTTTTTCTTTTTCTTTTTCTTTTTCTTTTTCTTTTTCTTTTTCTTTTTCTTTTTCTTTTTCTTTTTCTTTTTCTTTTTCTTTTTCTTTTTCTTTTTCTTTTTCTTTTTCTTTTTCTTTTTCTTTTTCTTTTTCTTTTTCTTTTTCTTTTTCTTTTTCTTTTTCTTTTTCTTTTTCTTTTTCTTTTTCTTTTTCTTTTTCTTTTTCTTTTTCTTTTTCTTTTTCTTTTTCTTTTTCTTTTTCTTTTTCTTTTTCTTTTTCTTTTTCTTTTTCTTTTTCTTTTTCTTTTTCTTTTTCTTTTTCTTTTTCTTTTTCTTTTTCTTTTTCTTTTTCTTTTTCTTTTTCTTTTTCTTTTTTTCTAAAGAAAAAAGTCATCCAGTCTTTGACAGTGAGTAGTTTAGGTCAGTTCTGCAGGGCAGGGTCCATAAAAAGTTCTTACAAACAGTGAACTGTGACAGTTTGTATGTATGTTTTTCCTTAATTCTTTCAAAGCTTTATTTAGTTCCAGGGGTTTAATTGGCAAGATGAATAATGGAGTATTTCTAGAGAAGCTTTTAAAAAAAATGAAGGAGAATTGGCATTTGAAGTCATAGTATACAGTGCATTTTTTTTCTAAATATTTTGGCTTTTTGTAATTTTTTTCTAAATGTTTGCTTATACCTCTGTCTCATCATGCAGAGTTTACATTGCCTTGCACAGAAGATGTGCCCACTTGTGGCGATAGTTGTGACAAAGTTCTGGAATGTGGCATCCATAAATGTTCCCAGCGCTGTCATCGAGGTCCCTGTGAAATATGCAGACAGGTTAGTCTTACTGAAGCAGCTTCACATTTTGTTAGGGTTTTTTAAACACTATATGCCAGGAACGGTGTGAGTCTCCTAAGGAAAATATCACAAAATATCACAAAAACTATCATTTCCTGTTTGTTAAAAACATCATTTTCCCCATTTCCCATCCCCTGCCCCAACACCATTCTGAATTAGCAGTTGAGCATTATGTGTCTGAATTGAGGCACGGGTGAGGGTTTTACTGGTTTGGGTTGCTTTTGTTTGGTTTATTTTTAATTAATTATGCGGGAAAATACACTTATTTTTTTTCCCCCCAGTGCTTCTAGCTTCCTTCCTGCTTTGTCTTACTGTGCTGTTTCTTTAGTGAAATGGAAGATGCTGTAACATAACATTATTTCCTTGTTAGTAATAAACTAATATTTTGCTCTGCTCTAAGTGTCTGTGGAGCTCCTGTGGCCTGGCCTATAAAGCTGTTGCTCTCTCTGCTCTCGGTTGTCTCTTCCTGAACCAGCTTTGGCTACAAAGTCTATGGTGGAAGTACTTAGCACATGATAGCTGGGGTGAAGGTCAGATAAACCTGCTCCTTAAATTGCCTGTATACACAATGGATGAATCTCAATTACTGTGCAGGAGAGGTACTTCTCTGTATGAATTTGTTTTGCATTTATGCTTGACATCTTGCACTATACACTTGAGTGGTTCCCTTGAAGTGACTTCCCTCTTGGTGAGACCAAGGCTTTGGTGAGGTGCCATCTGGAGCACAGCATTTGCAATAGAATCATCGAATCGTAGAATGGTCTAGGTTGGGACTTTAAAGATCATCTAGTTCTTTCCCCCTTGCTAATACCAAAAGAAGGTCCCCAAGTTGTTATTGCACAGATAAGTAATCTGCTCAGAGCGTGTGATATACTTCCTCTTGTGATACAACACTGTAATGTTACTCGTCCATGAACATTTCTTTACAGCTACTAGTAGAAGGTATTATTTTCCACTTTTTTCTTTTTTTTTAAATTAAAAATACCCTGTTTTTTTCCCTGTCTTGCTGCCCAGGAAGTTGAAAAACAGTGCCGCTGTGGAAAGCACACTAAGCGCATGCCGTGTCATAAGCCATATCTGTGTGAAACAAAGTGCACTAAAACTCGGGATTGCCAAAAGCACCAGTGTAGGAGAAAGGTAAGTGTCCCAGAGATCATCTTTCTCTAATGAATTGTTTAGATATATTAATTATTATATATTAATAAAAAAAGTTATATTTTCTATTCTATATAAATCAATCTGATGTTCCACCTCATGTTGTTGTATAGAAAGAAGACTTCTCTTCAGCATCATTCAGACTAGTTTGCCATGTGCCTGAATTCTCTGAACAGCACGTCACTCAGGAAAAACTCAATGGCCTTACAAACTGGGAAGGGGGTTTTAACAACTTTTCAGCTCCAGAAAGCAGTTTTGCTTTCAGATACTTCAGTAGTTATTGATGCTTTATGCGTTCTGGAGTATTTAAATCAATTTATTTCCTTGCTTTGTAAGAAGAGCTGGAGATCTCTCATAATTTTGTAAGGGACATACTTTTATTTTTGACAACACAGCATTTCACCCCACCTTCTAAAATGCATCACTGCAAACAGCAGTGGTGTGACAACCGGGAGTCTGAGTTTTGGTTCCCTGCTTGTTTGAAGTCAAAGGAATAGCTGATAGCTCAGACCTATCTTTTCAGTTTCGTGATTCATCAAGGCCTGGAAGTTGCCTGCTGTGTGTGAATTAAGACATCACAAAAGTTGGACTTCTTACCACAAAAAACCATGAGAAATACAGTTTCATTCTTAGGTATTTTTGAGTATTGAATATATATTATTACAGTGAATTTACTTTATATGGAAAGATGGTAAAACAAGTAAAAGCAATCTTGACATCTTATGCTAAAAAATCCAGGTTTCTCTTCCTAATTGCCATCCTTTCTTACACAGTTTGGAAGGAGGGTACCTTTCAAGTTAATAGAAAAAATGAGGTTCTCTCCTGACCTGGCATCCACCATTCAGGTGGTGGTGTGATGCGTTGTGATTCTTCCATGTTACTACTTTATGTAAGAATAGAAAGTAGATCCTAAAGCTACCTGACCTTTACTGCAAGGGTAAAAGGTGTATTGTTTGTTTTTGTTTTGTTTGTTTGTTTGTTTTTTTGAAGAAAGTGCAAAAGAATGGGGACAACTGTTGGATATCCTGCATATAATCTTCTGAAATTATTTTGAATTAAAATATTATTAAAGAATTTGAACTTTTAAAATGTTCTTATGCTTTTTGGAAGCCCTCTGCCTTTTTAGTGTGTTGAAATGATGCTTTTATATTGGTCGTCGTCTTGTTATTTTATAATTTGAGTTTTTAAAAATAACTTTATAGATGGCTTCCCTTCTATATCTGGCACGAATTTGAGGAAATTTGGCGAAATAGTGTGAAAATTGTTTTTAAGAAATACTGAAAAATGAGATAGTAGAAGAATGCAGATTATACCAGAAATGTCTACGTTTTCAGTTATATAGAATATTTGTTTCTTTAATAGTGCTGTCCTGGAAACTGCCCACCTTGTGATCAAGTCTGTGGGCGGACTCTGGGCTGCAGAAATCACAAATGCCCTTCAGGCTGCCACAGAGGTAAGAACAGGTGAAGGATCCCTGTAGTGACGGAATGCTGTTTATTCCAGTAAACAATATTCATGCTTGCTTGACTCTGTGTGGTGCTTCATGAATTCTCTCCCTTGTTGCATGTGGGCTTTTTGTGTGGGCAGTGTATTTGAAAGCTTTTTAGTGCTGGTTAGAGCTTAAGGACTTGCATAAGAACAACCTGAATTTTTACCTGGTAATTTTGCTCCGCATTGCTTCTCTGAAATTGCTGTCCCCTTTTCAGCCACTTAATTCCATAGCTTAACTTTTTTTCCCAAATAATTCTGTTCACTGAATATGCATAACGAAGTCCAACTATGTTTTGAAATGACAGTGTTCATTCAGTCTGGATGGTTTTTAAAAATCCTAGAATACAATATGTGATACGAGTGGGCTTAAAATATTAAAAAAAAAAAAGTTGATGGAATTGAATGTATTTTGATATCTTACTGGTAAAAGAGAAAATAAGAACTTGTTACTGACTATATAAGGATACAAAAAAGTTTACTTCTCTATCCAGTGACCTTGGTTTAAAAGATGCTGAAAATGGCCAGAATTGCCCAGCAGCTTTTATCCTGGCCAACTGCTTTGACATTTGCTTGGTAGGGGATTAAATTGGAATGACTGAAGAAGTGGCAGCCCTCTCAGCAATTTTCCCCCCAGAAGCTGCTGCCCTGCTGAAACAATGACTGGGTACCCTGTGTAATTTCCCTCAGTATTTTGGACTTCAAATTGCAACAGCTCAGGAAATAATTCACAACTTGTTGGGCCAATCTTGCTTTTGAGGCAGTGATTCTTAAGAGGTAAATGTGGTAGTTGTCCCAGTTAACCTGCTATTAAATCTGTCAACTAGTGGTTTGTTTTTTTCCTCTGTTAACTATCTCCCTTTTCTTTCCCTTCCTTTCTTCTCCCTATCCCTCCAAAATCCTGGTAAAACATGATTTTAATTTTTTTTTAAATTCTGTCGGAAGAAAACTCGTAACATTGTTTTTGTACATTAGTTTGATAACTAAATCATAGAATAAAATTCTGGTTGGAAAACTAAGGAGGTAATGCTGCATTATAGGATAAACTTTTACCTTGAATAGCTATTTATATTTGATGGTGCTTGCATCTTACAGCCTGGCTAAAAGTGACAAGGATATCTAATAACTAATAACAGTATAAAAAAGTAATCCGTGCCTATATGAAAACAAAAGCAAACTTTGAGAAGGTGAATACCAATTATACACACTTTAAAGTGTATTAATTTATTGAAACAGTACTATTGTCAATATGTAAGTGCTAACTCTTGCCATAAGTTGCATCTGATGAAGTGAATAACTATGGTATCAGATGGTAAATTCAGAAAATAACTTGTGTGCTTTAACAAATTACAACCTATGGGGAGTGAGGAACTGTGGAGACGCGCTGCTGAGCGAGAGCTCGGCAGGTTCTTGCAGTGATGGGAAGGAAGCCTTGGGAACATTGGCTTGGGAAGCCTTGTCAGAATGTTTGAAAATATTCCTAATAAAGGGAATAATTTTGATTTAAAAATATTTATTTTCATGCGTTTCTCCTTATGCACCAATATTTTAATAGGTGATGAAAGTTTTAATTAATTACTGTATCTTCAGGGATTGTTTCTAACTTTATACCAGTTAACAACTGCAGGATAATCAAGATTATTATTGCTGTTCTTTAAGAATGGTGAAATTCTCTTCCCCAAGAAGGATTTGAAACTAAGCAGAAATAAAAATTACCAGCCATCTGTTATTTAGATCAAACAGAATAGGACAGTTATACCATTTGCATATCCAGAGTTATGTTAGTTAGCGTTTTTTGTAATCAGTAGCTTATTGAGATTATCATGTTGTTAATATATTTATTTTTAGGTAGTTGTAATCCATGTCCAGAGACTGTAGATGTGAAATGCAATTGTGGAAGAACTGTCATTAAAGTGCCCTGTGGCAGAGAGCGCACCATCAAACCTCCCAAGTGCAAGCAGCTGTGCAGGTCAGTATAGAAACTGCGTGTTTCTACTTCTTCAGTGGAGTTTAAGGTATCATTAAAGTAGTAAAATAAAAAATTTAAAAGGCAAATGTTATTCCTTTAATACAATTGCAGATATTACTGCTCAGTTTTCTGTATTCTTGACTCCGCAGATGGAGATTAGTAATAATTGTTCTTACCAGACACCTCTTTGCTGTGGTGTCATGAGCAGCTTCCTGCTGTCAAGGGGGAGGTTCTGTACCACCGAGCACTTCCAATTCTGTAGGCACACTCCCTTCTTCAAGTTGTGTCTGCCACATTTTGAAGTACCTCCGTGGGGCTGTTTATCTAGAAAACTTGACTAGCAGAAGGAAAAAAGAGAGGTTTTTTTGCTGGGCTGTAGCAAGAGAATTACTTGGCTCAGAGTAGAATTAGGAGTGAAACAGCTGTTTGAATATGCAAACCCAACTTTGATTTTAATTCTATTTAGAATTCCTGAGTAATTTTACTGTTAAAATTAATCACTGCTGAAGGTGAGAAGTAAACTCATTTTTAAAATAATAACTTGTTTGTCTCAGTTCTTTGCACTTTTGAGTAGAATTGTCCAGTGACTGGAACTTTGTATTTCTTGCTGTCATGTTGATTCATTCTTGGATTTTACTTCAGTCGACCGCCTACCTGTCACCACCCTACCCAGGAGAAACACTATTGTCACTTTGGTCGGTGTCCCCCCTGTCGTCAGTCCTGCCAGAAAGCTTTAGGCTGTGGTCATTTTTGTCCCGTTCCCTGCCACGATGAAGCACTTGTGAAGCAAACTGGCGTAGTAAGTAAATAGTGAAAAATAGCAGGTTCCTTTGTGTTCTGAAGAATGAGCAACAGTTGTTTGACCTTAATCTTGTGTTGGAGGCTTTTGGAGTTCAGGGTAAATAAACCATTGAGCACAGAGCTATGCATGTTGTTTAACTGAGAAACTAAGTGGTTCTAGCACCTTTATTGCAATCTAACTTTGCAATATATATAACAAACTGGGCAGTTTTCAACAGCTATAATTACTTAAAGTATAAGATTTTTGTTAGAGTTGTATCACAAATGTTTAATTTCAAATATAAGCAATTACTTTTAACATAAGAGTAAAAAATAATCTTTAACTGATATTTACTAAACCATCAAAATCTGTAGGAGTTAGAAGTGAGAATTTGTTTGGCATCTTTGCACATGACACACGCATGCACTGCGTGATGATACTTTCACTTGTTTAGTAATTGAAATATTTTTGTATTTTTACCTCTATTAAATGCTTAGAGCTGTTTTCCTGGGTTTTTGTTTGGCTGTGGGCCTCGTTTTTAGCAGTTGGGCCACAGGTCTTCATTTTCCTATCCCTAACCATGCTAAGGCTGAAATTGCAACTTTTTGTGTGTAGGGTGTGTTGAGATTTCCATTCGTATAAACTTAGTTACTGGAAAGTGGATTTTTTAGAACTGGGATCTCTTTAGATGACATGTCTGTTTATGGTCAAGCAGATAGTACCATTTGTGTTTTGTATTCAACTAGTGTCGTCTTGTGCTTTCAGCATCAGTCTGCAGGTCCTTGGGAACAGCCATCTGAGCCAGCTTTCATTCGAACGGCCTTACCGTGCCCTCCCTGTCAGGTTCCCATACCAGTGTAAGTATTAAAAAAGAAAACAAATAAAAGAAAGTTTCGGTACGGAAAAAGACTTTTTCTTTTTGTGCTGTTGCAGAGATGGACATGGGAATAACCTTGAAAACCCCAAAGTACATAATTGATTCTACAACCTCTCTGGACAACTTCTTCCAGTGCTTGGTTATGCTGATTTTTATTTTTATTTTTTTCAGAAGGGCATCCCTGCCCTCAGTTGTATTGACTGCAGTGTCCTTTAGTGTAGTCTGCAAAATGGATGCATTTTGTCTCTTCCAAGTTACTGGGGGAAGGAAAAAAAAACAACCCAACTAAAACAAGAAAGATCTCAGGCAGAAGAATGCCACCTATAACTGGTGTCTAAGTAGCATACAAAAAAACTAGCCACTACCCTTGAGCACAGAGGTCCTGCCAGTTTTTTCTACGTCTGGTAGTTCATCTGACACCGATACATGTCAACTTGAATGCAGGGTTCCTGTGGGTAACCTCTCATCTGCAGGTTTAGTAGTTAAATGGCAGAAGACCATCAGGCTGGTTAAGCAGTTTCCCCTTGCAGTGGAACAGCAGTGTGCTACAATGGAATGCAGAGGTCCTAGAAGCCAAATTAACTGGTTATAGGAAGATTATAGTGGGTATAAGATAATTAATTGAGCTGTGTAGAGTGAAGAACAGTTTTGTGCTATGTCTGCGTCTTGTACTGGGTGAAAGATCGATTGCTCTTGTTAATATCCTGCTGTCCTAAAGACTGATACACAGCTATTGGTAGTTGCTTTATGTTAGAGAAACTACCGGGGATATCTTGTTTTTTTAAATGCTTTTGTAGAAATTTTTAGGAACTGATTTACAGGTATTTTAGCTTGAATATTAGTAGTGTTTTCATCACTCTCCCTTACAAGGTTTCAATAGAGAAATCAAAATAATACTTGGGAAGGAGATGACAGATAAGAAATCAGAGATAAAAAGAAAAAGATACTTTTCAAAATAAATTGAGCAAAAGATTGATTTAATTTTTAGGAGATCAGAGATTGAGTCACCATGTAGTACCTTCACAGTTCTGATCAGTGTGCAGTTTTTCTTTCCTAGGGATGGTAGACCACTCTAAAAGGGATAGAATTGTAAACATAAGAGTAGACTAGTAGTTCTCTGAAATAACTGAAAAATATGAAGTGGTGTAGTAGTAGAGCCAAAGGAGAAGATATTGGGAAGCAACTCAGATAATTTTCTAAAATAAAAATGATTAATTTCATATAAAAATATAATTAATCTGCACATGAAACACTGATTTTAGGATTACTATCATAAAATACGGCAATCCAAGCAACTGTTGAAAAAGAGAAGATCCACATAGCTAAATTATTTTCTTTTAGTTTGCACTTTTAAAAAATAGATTGCATTGTTTTTGCATGTTTTATGCTGTTTTAAGTCTTTCTTAAATAAATGCATGTTTTCTAAATCTCTGATTTTTCTCTCTTAACAGGGAGTGTCTTGGGCAGCATGAGGTGAGTGATGGAAAATGCCTTTTTAAGTGGAATATGAAGTATATCTCACTTAGTCTGCAAGAAAGAGTATTAAGGAGAAATATTATATGGCTTGTTTATATTTTAAAACCAATGAAGTACCTTATCACAAGGGCTTATGTATCAGAAGGTATTTTAGTTCCTTTTTGAAGAATATATAACTGCTTGACTTTTTAGAATTCTTGGATAGAAATTTACACTCATGTTGTATGAAGCTGTTTGGGTATTCCTGCAGTTGTTCAAATAGTGTTTAATTTTTTGGGGGCGGGTGTCTTTTTTCACTATATACTTCTGGGGCTTTTTTTCCTCATTGTATTGTTATTCTGTCCCTGTCACACAGTTCTCCTAGACACTGTTGTGTTTATTTTAAAAGGATAAGGAACACGGTGTCATACAGGAAATTTCTCATGTGACTTTCATCTGAGCATGCATGGATGAAATCAGACAATGTAGTACAAACTTCTTTAGTGTTACTTATTAGCTTGTCTTTTTGGTGTGCCAGCTCCTACAGTTTTGGATGAAGTAATTCTCTATTTTTGCTTACATGAGAAGAAAATCTAATTGACGCGTGAAGCGATCATCATTATTGACAGTCACTTCTAAAAGTCACTGATTGCTAAAATAATCCTTAAAAAAACCCTGTTGCAATTACAGCTTGCTCTACTAGTAAATCTGACATAAATTCACAATCAAAGTGCAGGTAACAATAATATAATAAAACTAGTTGCATTTTAAGTCAGTTAAAAATTACAGAAAACAGTAAACACTTTAAAAGAGGTAGGTATCTTTAAATATATTTGTTTTTCTTTGGCATTATTTAGTAATCTTTTTGGTATGTTTTGTAATGGAGGATTGATTATGTGGTGGCAACACCTACAAATGTTGTTAACAAAGTTTATATCTCAGCAGTCTGTTTGTGCAGCACATTTATTAATTCAAGCAAACTGTGAATACAGCTTCTACTGAGCTGCTTTGCAGCTTGTCGGTTGCTAAAAGAAAAATGTGCTGTGAAAATGAATGAAAAGAACAACCGTGCCTGCTTGTTTGTTGTTGAAACAGCTGGGGTTTGGTTTCGCTTTCCACAGTAAAACTTGCAAGTGTATCATCAGCCAAGGTTTTATGGAGTCATTGAGGTGTTTTGGGGATAGCTCATATGGAATCTCACCCTAACTTCTTCATGGATTTATGTATAAACAAAATATCAGCTGTGGTTTATAACTTGCTTTAGACAATGTTACTGGTTTTGGTATTGTTTGGATGTACGTGGTCATGAAGTTTATATCCCTCCTCATGGCTCTTCATATTAGTGAAAATGGTCCCAAATATTACATATTACTACATACACTCACTACAATTACTACAGAAATTCATGGGGAGTGTAGTGGTAGGATGAGGGGTGATTGTTTTAAACTGAAAGAGGCGAGATTTAGATTAGATATCAGGAAGAAATTCTTCACTGTGAGGGTGGTGAGACACTGGAACAGGTTGCCCAGAGAAGCTGTGGCTGCCCCATCCCTGGAGGTGTTCAAGGCCAGGCTGGATGGGGCTTTGAGCAACCTGGTCTGGTGGGAGGTGTCCCTGCCCAGGGCAGGGGGGCTGGAACTCGATGATCTTTCAGGTCACTTCCAACCCAAACCATTCTATGATTCTATATTTATAACTACTTATTTCAGAATAATAATAAAAATTAAAAAAAAAGAAAGATAATCCCTTCTCTGTTGCCTACTAATCTTGGCAGAACCAGTCAATGGCTTTGGGTCATGTTTCCTGTATGAGTTAGCATAGGAAATAAGGGAAAATCCCAGGGAGTCTATACCTAACTTTTATTGTTGAGATTTATTGATGCTCTAGACTAAATCTTCCTTCTCTCAGCCAGCAGAGTGCAGTGCTTCCTTCCAGCTGAAGTTTAGTAGTTTCTGGAGTGGAATGAAGTGTCCTAATCTTTGGATTTTTATATCAGTCAAGGAAAAGCATGATTTGTTAATGTGTGTGAGAGAACGGGGTGTTTACAGTGTATTTTCTGTGCATTATACATTTTTTTATGTTGTTCTGAGATCTCTAAGAAAACCAAATAAGTAATGTCTGTTCAATGTTTTACAGCTATTCTTAACAAGTAATCTCACCTCAAACTAATTTATTTTTGTGAACAAGATAAAACACTTGTATATATTTATGAACACTTTCTGTAGAATCTTCCTGCCCCTGAGGGATTTTCACTGATGAATGTGAACTTTTTACAGATGATGAAAGTAGCACTTACCTCAAACCAAATTTTTTTTCTGTGAAGAGGGGCTAATTGCTGTACAATGTTACTACCTAGGTTGGTTTGATTTAGTTCAAGCTCTTACATGTCTTTGGGTATTTAGAACAAGCCATTTATCACTTGAAACAGCACACTTAAAACTACTTTTCAGATTATATAATTCTATAAAATCCATGTTCAGTGGAGGTATCATTCTACAGAATGTTTAATCTAAAATAAGATTTTTTTTTTTACTTACGTTCTGCTGCCTTTTAAATAATTTTACTGTGTAAATTTTGGATGTTTTAAAATATATTTAGAAAAAATAATAACTCTTCATTCTTCAATTTCTAGGTGCTTAAAAGTAGCTCTCAACTTTGTTTCAGGTTATAGGTGAGAAAAATCACGTAACATTAACAGTTGCTGCTACCTGAAAATGAAAACTTGATATTTTACTTTTTCTTTGAATTGCTGTAAGCACTGGCATTTCATAGCAGTACTATACATGTGCTCTTTTAAAATCAAATTATGAGAGCTAATGTTTATATTCAAAATCTTTTTCTATGGGAGAACATTATTTAAAGACCATACAAGGTAAAGGAGGACAAATAAGGAAATCTTAACTGGATATGGATAATTTATCTGCTCTATTTAATTCTCTTGTAGTTGCTTCATTTCATTAAATGTTCTCAAGGAAGGGAAACGTTTTGTTTTTGTTGCTGTAATGAGTACTTCAAATATCCTGTAGTATCAGTCTTGCTGTTCCCAGGCAGATAGAACTCTTTCTTCTTCTTGGGTTTGGTTTGGGTTTGGGTGGTGGTTTTTTTTGGTAGGAATTTGATGCTAGGTTTTTTTGTGCACTTGGGAAATGGCTGGGAAGCTTCTGAAAGTTGTCTTGTCCTTTTTTCCTTGCCTTCCTTTCCTTATCCTGTGGAAGACCCGTGGTCTGAAGATGATGCCTCCTTATTTTCTTTCTTTTTTCCAATCAGCTTTCATAAAATACTTCTGGTTCTCATCTGTGTTCCTTGTTCTTCAGCTCATCAGCCTCCTGGAGTTTGTGGCTTCTTTGATACTCGTCTTTGTAGGAAGAGCAGGGACCTCCATTTAGCCATTTCAAAATGCATCCCAACTATAGAAAGTAAAACTTCTCTGCTTGGATTTATTACTAACATCTGCAACAGCTTGACTTGTCAAGAAATGGAAACAGAATTGAAAATATATTGTAGGTTTAAATTAATTAAAATTCTTTTGGTTTTGGCTACGATGTCAATTGATTCCAGAAGGTTCCCTTATCTTTCATTGGAGTCAAGACTTGGGAAAGTCAGTGAGTGGGGCGAGCTGAAGCTGTGCTGGATGCAATCAGGGGGCTGGGATGTTCTCTGCAATTGGCCAGCTGAGAGCTGCTACTGGTGTCTGCTGCCTTTGGGCTTCCCTCCATGGCTTCATTCAGCACTGCAGCTCAGCTGGTGTGCTTTCCCCTCTACTGGGCACTGGTGAGGCCCCACCTCGAGTGCTGTGTCCAGTTTTGGGCCCCTCACTACAAGAAAGACATTGAGAAGCTGCAGAGAGTCCAGACAAGGGCAACGGTAAGGGGTCTGGAGCACAGGTCTTATGAGGAGCGGCTGAGGGAGCTGGGGTTGATCATCCTGGAGAAAAGGAAGGGGGTGCAGTGCAAAGCTGTTCAGTCAACTGAAGCCATAACACAAAATCTCACCCTTAGTCCAGTCAAAGTGAGTTATGTCGCGTTATCCTATTGTGTAATAGCATCACAAATAGTTCCTGTTTTTCTCTGCGAAATGATCATTATATTAAGAAAAAAAAATCAATTTTTTTGACAGTGTCACAGAAACGATTTTTTTTTCATTTGAACATTATATAATGGTTGGAAAATGGGAACAACGAGTCTCCTCTAATACTCGTGAAATGGAGGAACTTGTACTATATTCAACTTTAGGAAAATAACCTAGTTAACCAAGTTAGGAGTTTACACTCCATTTCAGTACCAATGAAGATTAAAGGCTTCTAAGTAGATGCTCTGAAAAGTACTACAGAGCTCTGTTAACTGGGGTGTTAACCTCAAATTAGGAGGTACAAATATAAGACATTAAAATTTTAGTCTTCTCATAAAGCCATTTCTTCTTCCCCTCCGCACTCCTAGCAGTTATATTTGGTATAGTCAGGATTTGGTCTTTAGAATTTCTGGCTTGCAGGTTGTTTTCGTTTGTAGAATTAAAAAATGCTTGGGGTTTATGATGACCATAACACAATTAGCCCTGTGAAAGGAAACTGTAACAGTCTTCTGCAATAACTATAAAGCAGATTAGGAACATTTAATGGAAGGCACGAGTGTAATTGGAAAGAAGGAGTAAGTCACACTAAAAGATTTGAAGAATGTAATAATCTGTTACAAAAAACCCCAAAAATACTATGTTACAGAAGTTAGCTTAATTAATTAATAAGGTGGGTTTTTTTTACCTGGTGTAACCAGTGTAAAACAAATGTGTGTGGTTATGTTGGAATGGAAACCTAAAGGCTATTAAAAAAAAAAAAACCAAACATTGTTCTGGTTTTCTTCTTTTAACAAAGATCCTCAAGGATCAAAATTTCTCTGGAATGGTGCTGTGCCTCTGTGTATGGGTATATATCCATAGTGTGTGTATATATACATGTAGCACACACAGCACGCATGTGCTATGTGCATATAGATACACGATCTGCGTATATATATACGTTTATAATGGTTTATTTGTAACTTTTAGGTCAGTCCGTTACCGTGTCACTCTGCAGATCCCTACTCGTGTAAAAGGTTTTGTGGGCGACTTCTTGATTGTCAGAATCACACCTGCATGAAAGAATGTCATCACGTTACTAAATTGGACGGCACTGCAGGTGGAAATAAGGTAGGTTGACTTCCTTTTTGGTTTTATTTTTATGTGTTTTATACGATGTCTTCAGTTTTAAGTGGAAAACTAAGAATTTGCAGCTGGAAGGCACAGGATCTATTCCAAGTTCCACTGGGAGACTTGCATATGTTCTGCTCCCATTGATGCAGTGCCTTAGCATCTCCCAGCTTAGGTGTACCTAAGCTATAGGCTTTTTGGAAGGTTATACAAATTATCCTACACGTATGGAAATGGAATGACTTAAGGTTTGCTTCTTAAAATCAAGCAAACAAACCTCCCCACCCCTGCATTACAGAGCAGTATGTCATGACTAAAGTATCACAGTAGCATTGTGGGTGGGAGAAGTTAGTTCTCAATATGAAATTACTTCTTTTTCTAGCAGTTTTCTGTAGAGAATTAACAGGCTTAACGGCAATTTTCCAAAGCACTAATATTAAGAGTTCCTTTTGTGCCCAGGAGGCAAAATGGAACTCTGTCTCTCTGACCAACAAACACTGGCATTTTTTCTTTTCTTTTAAAGGCGTATTTTAATAATTATTTTTACTTTAGGGATGTCTTACTGAATAGCTCGATTCCCTTAGCAAAACCACCCCAACTCTTTCTTCTGTATTAAAGCTTGTCAATGGCATCCAAGAAACAGATGTTTGGCATGTTCTTTAGTACTTTGTTTTGATTTTGTTAGGCAGGTCCAGAATGTTGGCAGTGTGAAGAGGAGTGTACCAAGCCCCGGCCATCTGGCTGTCCTCACCGATGTGTTCTGCCCTGTCATCCCGGGGATTGCCCATCCTGCCTCCAGATGCTTAAAATAAAGTGTCACTGCAAACTGTCAGTACTGTATATTGAATGCTTGTAAGTGTCAGAATCAAACCCAATTTTTCATTTGAATGCTACTAACTGGAAACCATTTGAAATGTCTGGGGATAGGAGCTACTCTTACAACAAGTTAAAAGATTTCTTTTGAAGGCTATAATTTGTAACATAATGCTTTTTCTTTTTCTTTTTTTTTTTCATTTAAAATTTGCCAGTGTTTTGTATGGTATTACTGCTAAAATTATGAATGCATGGAGTCTCATAAGCAGAGCTGTTTCTATAATACAGCAATATTTTGAATATTTTGAATTATGCAAATATAAAGTGATCTACATAATGTTTATCTATATGAGTTTCTTGTACCGTATGTGAATTTTATAACAAGAATTCAAATTTAATGTAGTTAGTGTAAAAGGTCTTTACGAGTAATATCCTTCAAACTCCAGCTGTTTTAATTGGAAAATTTCTTAGTAATCATTTGTGTTTCTTTTTCAATTATTTGTGTCTGGATAGAGTAAGCCAGGCGTTACTAAATATAAGATGGGACTTGTGGGTTTAAGCATTATCATCTGCGTATTGCTCTGAAAACCTTCATCCCATCTATGCTCTTCTTCTTCTTTATGTATTTTTGTCTGTAAAATAGTGACGTTTGTATTAATCCCACAAGATGTAGACAAATGAGTCCACTTTTCTTTATAGAGAGATGTACTTAAAATATACCCCTAATTGTATTGATTAATTGTATTGACTTTTGTTTCTTTTAATTCAGAATTTGTCACAAATAAGTCTTTTCTTTTACAGAAAACTCACGTGTGCTGATGTACAAGAAAAGGAGCTTCTCATTTCCTGCAAAAATCAGTGTCCAAAAGAGGTAAGCCATGTTAGCAAAAAAATACTTGATTCGATGGATGCGTGGAATTTTGTGGATTTTACTTTCTTTGTAAGATTTTTGATACAGTTTCATAGGCCAAGCAAACCAGAGAAGCTCAGTCTAAGTGAATATGCTAAATGATAGATGCAAAGGTGGTGAGTGACCTGTACTCAGAGGACAGTTATTAATGTCTTGCTGTCAAATCAGAAGGTTATATTGAAGGATCAGAGATTTGTCTCTAAGGCGTTAATGGCTTGATTGTGGAAACGTGCAGATGAGGTTGAACGTGGAAGAGTGTGTCCTCTAACATGGTTAAAAACCGGTCTTGAATTTGTGTCTCCAGAATAATGGGATGCTGTTCGATTAGGAAAAAGGCTGAGATTTGTGTTTGTGATTCTTCTTGTCTTAAGTGCAGGTCTCATAATTCCTGTCGACAATTTTATACTTAACAAGTGAGATGAGTTAATGATGCCCCACTGTGTTAGTGAAATATATGTTAAATAGCCTGAAATAGACAAACCAGTTAATCTTTCTATTGTGTGTGGGTATATCTAAAGGGTTGCTGTAAAGAAGAGAAGACTAATATCCTTATTGTGCGACTCTTAGACCATAAACCAGTGTATATAGGCACCAGTAAGGAAGAGTCACGTTAAATACTACTTTGGAGTTGTAAAGCTTGTGGAGCAGGGGGAGAAGTGGTTGGAGAAGCTGCCAAATTTCCATCAGTCTCAGCTTAGACACGTATCTGGGTTTGTCCAGTTGTGGATAATACTGCTGTGAGACATGAGGGATAGGCCAAGTGACTTCTTCCTGGTCCCTCCTAGTGCCATTTTCATGGGCGGTTTGTGTGCTTTGAGAAATCCATGCGTTACTCATTGTATGTTTGTGCTTTGGTTGTCATTAGCTGCTGTGCGGGTGACAGCCCTTTCTTCACTCCCTTCCCTGCCATCGGGTTGGAAGATCTGTGAAGTAGGGAAACCGGAATAGTCTGGAATACTTTGGAAAGTGTTTCCACTGCTAAACTCTCCAGAATTTCTGAGAAATTCTCCTTCCCTGCAATAAAAATGCATGTAGTAAAGAAAAATATTTTTATCCCATAATCACTTATTGTTTTGTTGTTCTGGTTTGGTCTGTTACTGTATAGCCGAGTCTCTTTGTCTCACGCAATGCTTAGTTGTCACTCGTAAATAATTTGATTCAACCCATTCTCCTTCCCTGATTCCACTTGGGGTTTGTGTCATCTTCCCTCATCTCTTGCAGTTTGAATTCTTCCTCAACCTAAGGATTCCTGCTTATTCCTCTGTTTTTCAGACAAGGCTCTGTTAACCCCTCCAGGAAGGCTGTGCTCTCTGCCGTCTGCCTACGTGTGTCTTCCGCTTTTTGCCCTTGTAGATGCCTTTCCATTGTCTTTTTTTTCTGTAAATGAATGTGCCTGTCACAATTTTCTTGTCTGGATGTCTGAAAGCTCTCTTCCTGGCAGGGGAACACTTTCGGATATTATTTCATTGTCCTTTTACCTCTTAATTTTGTCCTTTCATTTCCCTCTCTGTTACTTTGGTTTTATTTGCTCCAAGACTTCTCCCTCTTTATTTTCAGGAGTGTTTATAATCTCTTAACATGAACTATGTGTTCCCGTACTTCAGCTTCTCTTCAAAGATACTGTTGTGGTTTTTTTTCAGTATCTCATCTTTGATTCTGATTAATGTAACTGTTCTGATTTTTCTGGACATATTCCCAAGACTCAGTCTGGGATTTAAGATCCATGTAGTAGTAGTACTTAATTCTAGTTTGCGTTTCAGAATTGCCTGGTTCCACAGATGATGTCTTTTTTACTTAATGCAGTGTGATGTGAAAGAAAGCTTAGGACAACAGATCCCACTTTAGTTTTATAAAGCTTTTATTTAACTCTAAAATTCTCATTACCATAGGTGCCTTGAAAAATAAGGTTTAATGCAACTTCTGCTATCTAGAAAATCTTTTCAGTGTAATCGATGATGTAAAAATGTGTGGTCTTCCCTGCCTGTGATTCTAGCTCTTACTGGCTTTCGTGAAAAATAAAAGTATTAATGTAGTCCTGTTTTAGGTAGTACCTATCTTTGTGTTACAGTTTATCCTACTTTCCTCAGATCCTATTTTGGTAACTTCATATGTAATGTGTGGGGGTTTTACTATTATTTTTTTTTTTTGTCTAAAAAAATCTGTTCCGGTTTCTCTGAATATTGAACAGTGCTAGGGATCTTTTGGCTGTTTTATAAAAATACAGTATTTGTCTGCACCTTTGAGAGAATCAGCTACCTGTATCCTAATGCAATTTGTACTGATAGTTCTCTTTTAAAGGAATAATTGATAAGCACCATTTGAAGGAGCAGCCTTAACAGGTATAACCCTCCCAGCCCCCCCTCAGCAAATACAAATCAAACCCAGTGAGGGGACCTCATGCCAAGAACTTACAAACCACTTGGCCAAAAGATGAGATGGATAAGGCTACTGAGTTCAGAACACTTAAAGTTTATAAATCAAATATGTCTGCTCAAAACTAAACTGGAAATGTTCTGTGTGCAGTACCGACAGCCTCGAGTAAATTTCAAATTAGTGTTTTATGAGAGTTTTCCTACTCACTGTCAGAAGCCGACCTTGGGGCATTAGCAGAGCTCAGCAAAGTTGCTGTTTGCAAAAAATCAGTGTGCAGTCACAAGCTCAGTCAGCTTCAGTTCAGGAGAATATAGTATTTTACTGGGGCCTTGGTTCTGAGATGTTTTTCTTTTTGGTTGATGAACATTGTGTAGACAGTGTACTACCGCGTTTGAGTTACAGATAGCATGGTACATTTGGGGATTATGAAACTCAGTTACATTGTCTGGTGCCTTGAAAAAAAATACAACAGGAACTTTGAAAGTCTTGAAAGGTTTCATGCTTTTGTTCTGGCTATGGCAGTGTAAAACTATAAAAATGACTTCTAGTATTATACAGCACAGCTCACTTTTCCTTTCTGCTTTAGGGAGAAGCAATGTCTTTGATATTGCCACAGCTGTGAGATGAGAAGCTTTAATTAAAATGTTCTTTCTCTTGTTTGGTAGCAATAACAAAATATCCTGTTGAAGGAAATTTAACTTTTTTTTTAATCAGGAGTGATTAAATGCTTATGATCATGTTTGCAGATGTTTTGGGACAATTCTTACATAGAAGTTTCAACATTCAATTAGTTTTCATCGTTTACATATTCATATCAGTGTTTGTAGATCTGTTTCACAATTTATTCTGTGTAGTTAGTATTTTTTTTGACAAAACTGTACTTGTACTGTGCACTCTGCTACTGTGTTGATGTGAAAGACGGGACCCCATTGTGATAAATGTGTTTTAACATGATAGCATAGCAGAGATAATGTCATAAATTTTAAGAGTAGGTGATTGATTTTTATTTTTTTTTAATAAGTGAAATAAAATTTATTTCCAGAATTCTGTAAACACACCTTGAAACTGTATGTGTGTTGCAAAATGCACAGCTTTGGTCCATAATGAGAGGATTTTCTTCAGTGCCTGACTTAAGCAGGGGAGGTTTTTGTAAGATCTCTGGAAGCAGGGCCACCCGTTAAACTGAAGAGTCTACCCCTTGGTTTGGAAGTGATAAACTTATCTTTTGTAGTTGGGATTGCTGCTCAAAGGTGCTGTTTTCTTTATTAACAGGTTATTTTCTTTAACCTCAGGTATGTATTAACTAACAGGTTGTGTTTATTGCCTTCTGGTGGAAATCAGTTAAGCCTCCATAAATGTTGACGGGTTTTATCATCATCAGACATAATATTAAGACTTAAGTGTGTTGCCTATGGGGAAAATATTTGTAGGATTATTTTTGTTTGTTTATTTTTTTGTTTTCAAAGCTGTGCATTAAATGCCTTTCTTTTAAAGGTCTTGCCATGTCAAACATAAAGCCTGTTCCTTTTGGCCTGTAGTCCATGAGCTATTGACAGGAGATCTTGTATGGTAAAAAAGATCTATAGGGGCACACACTTTCTATTTTAGCACCGAGTAGCTTAGCAGGGACACTTCTAAAAAAAGCAAAAAAGAAAAAGAAATAATTTCCCACTAGTAAATAAGTAAGAAGGAAGTTACGCCGCCAGCTTCATTCTTTCCCTGCATCCCTGTGGATGTAAACTGTGCAGTTCTGTGTGGAGAACTAGATGTGTAGATTTGGGTTTCAGTATTGGATTAAATGTATTTCTGTGCTATACAAATTGTTTTTGCAATGGTGGTGGTCTTTCTCAGCTGTTAGAGGCCATGGTCTTGGCTGGAGTCCGACCTCAGGAGTGTAAAAGGTTTAAAGACAAGTTCCTCCCTTCAGCTTTTCAAAATGAGGCAAAATGCTAGATTTGCTAATGTTGTGCCTGAACAAACCTAAATTCCTTCTTTGATAAGATGACCAATTTATATATATGTATTTTTTTCCCCACTCCACTCCAGAGAGAGCAAATAGGTTAGTTCTGCTACATAAGGCTTGAGCAGAGCAGTTGAGCCAGTGCCACTTCGTCAACAGCTGGTTCTGATACAGAAGAGGCTTAATACAAGGATGAATGAAGGTGGCCTAAAGGAAACAACTGCTTGTATTTTATTTTAAAAAAAACAACAACGAAACAACCCCGAGCACTCCTCCCTCAAAAAAACCAACAGCAAAACAAAACCAGCAAAACTAAATGAAAAGTTGGAGCAAGAGATGTTAGCAATAAGGAAATTTTCCCAAGGACTGAACTGACACCTGACCTCGCATTGTTTTCAGTAGTGACCTTGGCAGCAAAAAAAAAAAAGGTTGGAATTTTCTGATGAAAATTTGTGGAGCGTTGTCAGTACATGATGGTTGAGGAGATACATGTGTTCTGCAGATGTATCTGGGGCACGTTATTAGATACAGGAAAAACCAGTAAGTGCATGTCAAGGCTAATAATAAGCTCTCGGGAAACGGGAAGAATTCTTATTGTGGCAGGCATGATTAGCTGGGGAGAAATGCAAATGACTGTTGAAGATGTATTGGGGAAGATGTTCTTTCAAGAATAAGGTGCAATTAAGGCATTGTACAAAGTCCTTCCTGCTGAGATGTCATTTGGAATATTACATGCAGTTCTGGCTACCGTATTCAAGAAACACTGATTTAAGCTGGTTGAAATTCAGTGAAGGGGATACTATGGGAATAAAGAGCCTTTTATGAAAGGACACTAGGGAAATATTTCTATATGAGGATAAGAACTAAGAGGTTTAGGCTGGCTAAAATAAACATAAGAAATTCAACAAAAGCTCTTGCGCCTTGCAGTGAGCTCCTGGAAGAGCCTCCTTAGGGACACAGTAGAAAGGGGGCAGAGTGGGGGACTGTTTTCGTGGTGAGACTTCGTCCAGTCCTAGAGGGGTCACGGGAGGTGCCTGCCTTTGGGAAGACAGGGCTGAATGACTTAGGGGCTCCTTCTAGTCCTGTCTGAAATGTCCTGAAGTGGTGACCCAAAAAAACAACCAACCAACCCAAGCCTAAACAGCAACGTCTCTGTCAGTGTAATTATAATTTGTGACTGGCATGGACATGAAAATATGTACGTCTGCTCCATAATTTTTAATGGGAAAGTTCTGCATTCTGTTCAGGTGTGTGTTCCATGATAAGAGCTCAGAGGCTGAGCCCCTTCCAATGGACTTCTGAGAACCCAAATTTACTAATCAACATCAAGTGTGTACACCTGGGGTTTATAATTATGTTATGTAGTACTCTCATTCTTGTGGATGAAGTGATGTAACATGTATACATTTTCCAATTTTTAATAAATGGGAAAAAGTGTATCTTAAAATTGTATGTCTTACAGCATTTTGCAAGTTGTGTTAATCCCTTGATGGCAGTGAAGAGGTGAAATTTCACTTTTAATAAAGAATACTATCCAAGGCCATTTAAAGTAGTTTGGGGATTTAAAGCTACCTTTATAACTAAATCAACTGGATGTACGGAATATTCCACTTTCAGATATTAGCGTGTTGGTTTATGTAATTTAAAATGAAAAATCATTATTGTGAAGATTTCTTACGGGTATGCGTATGAGCAAGGTATATTTTCAGTCAAGTTCTTAACAGAAAGTGAAAAAATGTGTTTGCTTTCTTGTCATTTTTATCTAATATAATGCTGGGAGCACAGCTATGTTCCTAACAGTCAGCATCTTCTAATTAGTATCTCTGTTCCTAACACAACAATCAAATGATAATATTTTCATTATAAATGTTAAAAATTGCACTGGCAGTAAAAAAAACGCTATCTCACAGATGTCAGAAATGGGATAATCTGCCAAATGCAGGAATTTAGGATTCTGTGAAATTATTTTGGACATGATAAGAATATTGGTGACCTGTATTTGACTTTTGCATAGTTCAGAAGCCTCTTGCTTGCAAAAATTTTTTGTGGTATTTTTGCTTCTGATCCACCCCTATTTCTTTGTTGACTCTGATCTACAAGTCGCTACAGTACACTTCAGTTTCTTTTTACCTTATCTACTTTTATCCCCCACAAAAAATATAGATAGCTAAGGTAATCGTTATATAAAATATTGTGGAGATGACTTGAAACACTTGAAAGGAGAAACTGGTTTTTAATCAAGCTGGGCCAATTACCGATAAATCATTCTACAAGAACCAAAATACAGTAAGTAACAAGCAAACATTTGCCAAAAAAAACCCCAAACCAAAACCCACAACTATTTCACAAGTGGAAAAACTGATAAGCGGAATGAGTTTTCTGTTAAGTTGCTGTGTCTGAAATAAAACCGGTTCATAGATTCTTTGTAATTTTGCAATCATTTATTGGTGTGGGGGTTTTATTTGTGTTTTTTTTGTTCTTTGCAGTTGCCCTGTGGTCACCGGTGTAAGGAGGTTTGCCATTCAGGTAGCTGCCCTCTGAACTGCAGCCAGAAGGTTAAACTCCGATGTCTTTGTAAGAGACTGAAAAAGGTACATTTTAAAGTTACAAATTTGAGAACGACGTATTTTCTTTGCATGTTTCTAGGATTGTATGGATGGATTGTCTCTGGTGCAGATTAAAATAAGTCCAGTTATTCCAGTAGAGCCATAACAATTCACATCAGCTGAAGATCTGGGCTGCAATATCAAAAGATTCACTGGAGAATATAAAATCCTGTTGGTTCTAAACTCTGTTACCTGCCTGATTGACAACGGCTTTATCTTCAAGCACACTGGAATTTTTGTAGCCAGAAGAGCCAGGTGACCTGGAGTAATTTGAGAAGGAAAAAAAATACTTTTTTCTGACAGTATCTGGAAAATTGATAATTATGTAAGCTGGAACAAGCACAGATGTTGTGAATCTCAAACTAACACAATCAGTTACGGTTCTCTGCAGGTCTAAAATCAGCTCCCTTAGCTTCTTACAAAGATAAGAGACAATGTCATGTAATGAGTTTATTAGAGCTATATAGCATTACGAGGGGAAGAACAGAAAATAATGTTAAGTCTTGGCAAGTAATAATGACTTAATAAAAATATCATTCTCTGGCTTAATTAAAAGGTGCTTACGTTATTTTTCTGGACCTAGAATTGTGTTGTGCAACCAAAAGCCTTGCAGGTGGAGTGTTGAGCAGGAGAAGGGATGACTTGCACAGAACAAGTGCTTCAAATTCAAATCTCTGCTTACAGACAACCTTTTTTTTTTTTTTAATTTTTACTGCAATATTAGGAAGAGAGGAGGGAGTGAAAGTGATAATTATGTTTTTTTAGCTCATGACTGGACCTTGCCCTGTACTCCCAGCCAGTTAAGAGGATGTATATGGAATTATGAAGTCTCTGAAGGCCAGCTTTTTCTGCCAGAGGGCAGAAGGTTATCTTACTTCATCTTAGGCAAACAAGTGAGAAAAGAAAAGAGAGGAGAAATTAAACTGGACTATGTGATTTATTTGATTTGATTTTATTCTTTCTTTCAGCTTATCAGGAAGAAGGAAAAGAGAAAAGGACAATTTAATACAGAATTACAGGCTCAAATAATGTTTAATCATTAGCTTTATTTTCTATGTAACCAATGTTTGACTAAATAGGACTGTTTTGCAATTATTTACATAAAGAAATGGACATTATAACTAAAATTTTATATAGGGAAATGATTATAAATGACTGAAATTATACTTAACAGGAAGTACAGTGCAGCAAGATACGAGAAGGCCAAGTTTCACTGGAATGTGATGCATTATGCAAGGAAATGAAACGGAAAGCATCTGAGGTAATGTATCCGTTGGAGCTATAATTTTGTCTGGGCGCTTCAAGAACCCCTAGGAAAAAATGAGCATGGAGTTACTTTTCAAGGCAATATGAGGAAAAAAAAAATACAACAGAAGTAGATGTGCTGTTTAACAGCAGTTGCTTTTTCAGGCTTGCGTTTGGCTTAGTGGGGAGAATGAATTATTTTTATTTTTTTTTTTAAATTTTTGATTTGTTAGAACTGGTTCTTTCCTCTTTGGCTGAGAACAAGTGATGACTGGTGATGAGAAAATGGTCATTGCTGATGAGGAGTGCTGTAGGATCAAGGCCAGGCCACTTCCCAGGGCATTGTTAGATCTGCTCTTCCCCATGAAAGTTTTGCAGCTGTGGGATGCTGGACGTGTCCAGGGTAACCCTGTCACCCTGTCATGCTGCAGGAGGTACCCTCTACCAGAAGAATGGAGCCTTTTCAGCAATTTATAGTACTTTTTAGTCTGCCGTCAACGTGGCTTCTAGTTCTGCTGGTTTATGAAGTGAAGAAATTGGGTGAATGCTGTCACCCAGAGAGAAGGAATATCACCCTTGCTTTTATAAGCCTTTTGTAAAAACATAAGCAAAAAGAATTGGTGCGCAACTTGCTTGGGTTTTATCGGCCGCTGGTGAGGCCTCACCTCGAGGGCTGTGTCCAGTTTTGGGCCTCTCACTACAAGACAGACACTGAGGTGCTGGAGCAGGTCCAGAGAAGGGCAACGAAGCTGGTGAGGGGTCTGGAGAACAAGTCTTACGAGGAACAGCTGAGGGAACTAGGGTTGTTCAGCCTGGAGAAAAGGAGGCTGAGGGGAGACCACCTTGCTCTCTACAACTACCTGAAAGGAGGGTGTAGCAAAGTGGGGGTCAGTCTCTTCTCCCAAATAACGGGCGACAGGACAAGAGGAAACAGCCTTGAGTTGTGCCAGGGGAGGTTTAGATTGGGTATTAGGGAAAGTTTCTTCATTGAAAGGTTTGTCAAACATTGGAAGAGGCTGCCCAGGGAAATGGCGGAATCGCCGTCCCTGGAGGTATTTAAAAGATGGGTAAATGTGGTGCTGAGGAACATGGTGGTAACTTAGCAGTGTTAGGTTGATACTTTGACTTGATCTTAAAGGTCTCTTCCAACTATAACGATTGTATGAATCTGGTTCCTGTTTCTTGCCCCTGCCATTGTGACCCATGGGGAGGAACGGTCTCATGCAATGAGTAAATGACAAGTTTTTTCCATAAACAATGCTACAGACATGTGTACCTTCCTCACAGAAGAACTTGGATTTACTTGTTTGACATTTTTTATATGAAGTTCAAAGTTATATTTAAATTCTTACTAGGCATTTGGTATGGAGAAGAACTGCACAAGGAGCCTCCCTGGTGTTTCACTGCCATCGACTAGGCCTGTGTTGACTTCTAAATGACATACTAGAGTGATCTCCTATTACGTGTACTTGACAGAAGTAGTTTATTATGTCAATTACTGTTAATGCATCAAGACAGGAAAAAGTCTGTTCAACACTGCAGATGTTTCCAAAGATATTTTAGTTTTTGCACAGTTGCAAAATAACCATTTATTTCCAAAACGAAAGTGTGTTAACTCTTAATAAAACTTCGTGTGTGGCACCTGGTGAGTGCACTTCTCAGGAACTGAATACATCTTTACTGTATGTTTTGTTAAAGAAATAGTTCTGAAAACATTTGTCCATAGTGTGATTATAATCACAGGGTAAGCTTCCCTCTGCCTATGTATTTTATACCTATGTATCTTATAGAAACATGACCACAGTGGTGTAAAAAGAAGCTCTTCTGTGGCTTTTTTCCCCACGTTTGTGGGTCGCTTTTTCTTTCGGAGCTGAGGTTCTGCCATTAGATGGCAGTGAAATACCAGGATGCTCGTTGGGCAGGTTTTTCCACACCAGACCGCGATTTCTGGCTGTGAGTGGCTGAAAAGGTCTTTAATACACATCTCTAAAGAGAGGCTCTGCCATTGCGTCTGGGTGAATGAAATTCTCAGTAATGGTTTTATTTGACAGATAGTTTAGCAATTAAAAAAAATAATTGTCTGAAAACATGCAAATAGGAGGATTCCATTGACCCCGTCCTCAGCGCACACTGTCTGAGCGCCGGGGCGCTAAAGCACGTGTGTGTGTTTCTCCTTAGTCCTCAAGAGCTCTTGAATTGCAAATTGTTTGGAACAAATTCCACCTGCGCAAACCACATTTAGTAAATTACTGTCACGGTTAGTATGCAAATCATCCGGTTATTAGAATCCAGACTGGTTTTCATTTCAAGTTGTCAATTGTATTTTTCCATCTAATTTTTCTAAGGTAGTGATTCAGTGGCTGCAGCACTGGAGGTGCAAGAAACGTACACGAGAAGGCAGCAGACACATACACACATTCCCCAGTCTACTCTTCCTGCTGCTGCTATTACCCTGGTGATCTCTGACCACAGGAATTCTAGAGATGGAGCCGGTGTCCTTCTGTTTAATGGTCTTTGCTGGATTCATCTCCTGTTAGAGTGCCTAATTGTTTTTCAGTCGACATAAACTTTTGGCAGCTAGAAATGTCCTGTAGCGCTGAATTTCTAGATTTAGCCAAATACTATGTGGGAGTAGAATACTTCCCTCTGTTATGAAGCAGCCTCCTGGTAATTTCATTTTATGCTTTTGCTTTTGTATTCTGAAAAATAATTATTGATGTTTTATCCCTATTTGGCATCTTCACACTCTTCAGGATTTTATGCCTTGTTATTTTCCTGATGAATCCCAGTTATGCATCTCGGTAGGGGAAGCCACTCCACCCTCTTGTCTTTTGTATATGTTCAGGCTTTACGTGCTTTTATTATTGCAGGACCAAAACTGAAAGCAGGAACTAAGATTCAAGTGCATCATGTGTTTATATACTGATGCTTTTTTCTGTACCATTCTTTTCTTAAAAATTTCTAGCAATTAATTTGCTTTCTTGAACACTACACGACACTTCTATAGAATTATCAGTTGTAACTCATATGACTTCTTTTCATATGACTTTGTGATGGTGGAGCATTTTTAATTACATTTGGTTTGCATCACACCAAGAGCTTTAAAGCAGTTTGGTTATGCATTATCCAATATATGTTGTATTTGGTACAGATACAGAGGTTTCATTTTGCTCTAGTAGTCAGCGAATATTTAAAGTCCTTGGAATGAAATATGTATGTGTAAATTGTATACATATGTAGGAATTACCTGTATGTGTAAAATGTACTGAATTGAGCATGAAGCTGCTGAAAACTTCAGCAAGAATAACTTGAATAGCTGTCTGTAGGGTTTTTCCTGGTTGTTTGTGAACAAACTATTATTTTTAGGCTTTATCTTTGTCAGTTAAGCTTGTCAAGTTGAAGTCAGAAGTTCAATTTTTGACCTTGTAGCACCCATTATATGCTTCATGTTTTCCAAACGGTAGAAGATGCAGCTTTTTCTGAAAATATTTTGTAATCTGAATAAGTTAAGAGCTCTCTTGATGGGAGTTCTGCTCACTTTTGCTGAGTACCATTCTATAGCAGTAACTAGGACCTTACAAGAAAATAGTTTTAGCTGCTGTTTACAATAATTGCTTGTCTCTTTGTATGTCTGGACAGATAAAAGAGGCAGAAGCCAAAGCTGCTATTGAAGAAGAGAAACGAAGACAACAGGTACCAACCTTTCTTCTTCCTCCCCCGCCTTGTTCTTGTTAGTAAATCATTTCATTTACATGCAACTAAAGATGCGTTAAATCTTTAATAATATAATTTGTAATGCGATATGCACAGTCATTCCTGTCAGCTGTTAGCTTACTCTAATGTGTGCTGTAGATGATTTGCAGTAGTTAAGAGCCCATGTTTTCCAAAACAATTTTCATAATTTTATGCAAAATGATGGTTAATCAGTTTAATCATGCATTGCTATACCTGTGTATAGTATAGCTTGGTTTTAAAATACTAAGCACTCCTGATTTTAATCACTTTATAATGCCATAAACCCCACAGAACTGCTGAATAGCCTTCATAGAGAATTAAATATTGGGTGAAGCTTCCCTCCTCCCTCCCGTCGTGAAAGACTGAGGAAGCCTAAATAAGCTTTTATCCTTCAGGGTCTCTGAGAGGGGGGGTAAAAACGTGTGTTTACTGTAGCTGCTGTTGGGGTGAGCATATGTTGTCAGCACTGTAATCCAAGAAACTTCTGTGCCAGCTGCCCAGAGACACTAATACTAATTGTATTTGAGGCAACAAAGGTAAGTGTTGGTGATGGGTAGGTCAGGTTTGTCACATGAAGGCTACAGCTGTAATGTGTTCCCTCCAGCCAGTGTCTGCACCTCAGCTTTGGACACCAAATCATGTTCTAAATCCAGTGTGTGCTTTCTGACCCACCTCTTACTCAGTTATCCCAACGGTTCTGTAGTAGGTCACACTTGTGTTTTCACCTTGTTCCCCCCCTGCTTGAAAGGGGGCACAGGAGGCCTACTCACAGAGCTGGTGCCCGTGTGCTGTTCTCCCAGTCTCATTAGGGTAGGCAGTTTCTCTGTGGGTCACAACTTCTGTTATGCATACTTTGATTAATTGCCTAAAGATGTTATTAAAGCTCAACATGAGCCCGCAGTCTGTGCTTGCAGCCTGGAAAGCCATCCGCATCCTGGATTGCATCAAAAGCGGCGTGACCAGCAGGGTGAGGAAGGGGATTCTGCCACCCTACTCTGCTCTGGTGGGATCCCACCTGGAGTACTGTGTTCAGCTTGGAGACCCTCAGCACAGGAAGGACATGGACCTGTTGAAGCGAGTCCAGTGGAGGTCACAAAAGTGATGAGGGACACTATGAGGACAGACTGAGAGAGTTGGGGTTGTTCGATCTGGAGAAGAGAAGGCTCCAGGGAGATCTTATAACAGCCTTGCACTTCTGGCAGAGGGTTCAGGAAAAATGGGCAGGACTCTTTATCAGGGAGTGGAGCAATAGGATGAGATGGTTTTAAACTGAAAGAGGGAAGATTTAGATGAGATATTAGGCAAAAATTCTTTACTGTGAGGGCGGTGAGGCACTGGAAGAGGTTGCCCAGAGAAGCTGTGGCTGCCCCATCCCTGGAGGGGTTCAAGGCCAGGCTGGATGGGGCTTTGGGCAACCTGGTCTGGTGGGAGGTGTCCCTGCCCAGGGGGAACTAGGTGATCTTTCAGGTCCCTTCCAACCCAAACCATTCTATGATTCCATGTCTCCCAAGCAATGCTCTAGCGAGGCCGCCTTTTGTTTCTCAAGGGGGAGTGTCTCTGCTCATCATGCTGGAAAAGTGTGCAGTTACTACTCTTGTCTAGCAGCCCCACACTGTTTTGTCATCATCTTGAAATGTTTGCTGTTATGTTCATGCCTCAACCACAATACCTACAATATTGGTCATGTGCTCCCTCACAGAACTCATAGACAGTCCATCCAACTCCTTGTGTTCTCGCATTTGGCCTTGGAAGCGTTAGTTGTGGGGAGGGCCCCGGAAGCGTAGCTTGCACACAGAGGGCTGAAACGTGGTGTTAGGCAGAGGTAATCTGGAACGGGTGGTTCTGCCAGTGAAGTCCTGAAGTGTACTAATGGGCATTTACACACGTAAGGAACGTGCTTGCAATTCTAGAGCCAGAAATTCAAAGTTGCTGGTGTTGGTATTGCACTGATCGTGTGTTCATGCATTCCAGAAGGCATCCTGCCTCAAAATCCCTTTAACTTACAGTCCAGTAATGAGGCTACTCTCAAACTGGAGCAGATTTGCTCCACCAGCATAGTGTGCAGTGTTATTTTTGTCTTGATTCTCCAGCAGTGGCTGTTTCTCTGCAGTCACACCACTGCTGCTTTCTAGTGTACGTTGGCTGAAGTCTCACGGTCAGCAGTCCCCTTGTGCAGGGAATGGCAACTGCTTCTGCCTAAGTGTTTTGGGATGGATGCAGCTTCAGGGATAGAAGACAGGAGGACAACAACAGTAAAAATAAAAACAGGACAAAACCAATTAAAAAAAGGGTATACCTAAAAGAAAGGGTAAACCAATAAAGAAAGGCCAGCAGTAACTAATAGATAAGTTCCAGAATTGCACACAAGTACTAACCTCGGCTACTGCTGCCTTTTCTCTGGAATGGATTTCTCTCCAGTTTGATCTCCTAATCTGCCATCTGGTGATGCAGGCTGGAGGACATCACTGTCATAGGGTGTCGGGTCACATTAAGGGTATATATGTAGCGAGTAGACTCCCTTCTGACATAAGTTTGCATCTTGTACCACCTTCCTGATCTCATTAGCACATTTTTATATAGAGAGTCCATCTGTTTCTCAAAGCTTCTCGAGACCTGTTTTGATTAATACTTCATTAAATCCTTTAGATACAAACTAGTTAGTGCTCTGGTAAGCCTGCACATTTATATTTTAGTATTTGCTATATTTGGTAGCAGCTCTGCTAATACCATTTACAGATGGAATCACTTGTTTCTCAGTGGAAGGGAGAGGGCTTGGTTGGGCTTCTCGTCATGGCCCGAGCAGCCAAACTTTCCCTCTGCTTCCAATTCGGAGGCTCTGTGTGAGGCCAGGGTGTTTGTAATTGATGGAGGTGGAAAAAATATCAGGGCTTTGATTATTTAACAATTCAGACCAAGCTCTCACTCTGTCCCGCTCTCTAGCGTAAAAGATGTGGTTAAATTTTTGAGCCAACAGTTGAGAGTTTCAATACTGAAAATCGACATCTCAAACCTGATTCTAATTTAAAGAGTTGTATGGAAGATTTTGTTTCCTTTTTTCTTAGAAAGAAAAATGTTTTAACAGCTCCTCAGACGTTACAAAAGTCGACCGCCCCCTCCTCTTGCGCCCCCCTTAACCCCCTGCAGTGCAGGAGCTGCAGTGTCAGGATATACGCTGGGTGTCTGTACAGTCACTGTTGCTTGCGGTTGTTTTTTCATGGGGCTGCTACATCTTCCAGTGCAGAAAGAATATAGAGAATATCAGCACATGGAGGAGCAAAATTAGACATTATCTAACATAAAATTGTTTTGAGTATACAGTTTAAATAAATGCATTTCATTTTACTTCTGTCTATACGCAAAGAAGTTGAGTTCTTACTCTAAACAAAAAGCTTGAGCTTGTTGAGCTTGAAAAATTCAGGTAGTCTGAAAACTGGGCACACCCATTAACTTCCTTATTCAGAGATCATTGAGGTGACACTTTGGGAAGGATGACAGTTATATAAAATCCGTAGGTAGCTTTTCAAGGATAGTGATGGCTTCTTTCTCGTATTCTGTGCCCACGAACCTTTTTGCGTTCTGTATTTTGTTTTTTTTTTACAATGTATTTATTTTTAGCAGGGTTTTTATAAAGAGCACTAGGAAGGCAATTCAGTACCCATTATATAATTGTTCAAGCCCTATATTTTAATTCCGATTACTGCAATTCATGAAGCACTTTGCTTTTAAAACTTACAGATCACAAGGTATATAATAACTAGAGAAGCCCCAATTTTTATTTAAGGTCTGTGTAAAATGAAATACTGCCATATTATCTATAAAGCCTTAAGAACTCTGCACTTGCCTCCAGATTTTGGATTTTGAAGAACTGTTTCATTAAAATACTTTGCTTTTCTAAAAGAGGATTAGCTGGTTGAAAGTAATCTTGTTTCAAATAGCAGGCGGGGGAACTTTGTCTGAACTCTTCTCCCATATCGTCAGAGAAACGCCAACAATTTCTGCCTTTATTAGGTACAAAGGAATAGACATCAAAATGGGTCCCTTTCTGCTGCTAACAGTGGTGTCTGGCACGAGAAGGGAAGGAAGGTCTGCTTTGTGAAATGAATATTCTGACGAATACTTGCTGTCAGTAAGGGAAGGCCAGACATCGGGCAATCTGGAGTTCCAAAGGAAAATTGTATTTACTGGACAACTTCTCTGCCCATTTCCCAAAACAGTCTTATTCTTGTTTTTTTTTTTTAATGCACGTGCCTTATTGTCTCAGTCCCGCTCTTCCTGGCAGCGCTGCAGGAGTGGGGATGTACATTTATTTCCTCTTGTGGCCAGGCTTTGTCTCTCTTCACTCTCCATGTTTCCTCAGCTCAGTCTTGTGCCTTTTGCCCAGCCAGTCCTGCTGCTCCCATCTCCCTTCTCTGCTCCCCAGCTCCTTGTCCCACACCTTCTCTAGTTGTTGACAGTTCTACCCAAAAATCCAGGTAATCATCAGACTGACCTTTTCTGGTTTTGGTCTGTCTCATCTCTCCTTTGGAGCATCTTTTCTGATTCTCCCTAGCAGTGAGATGGCTCCCCATCTGAGTCTTGTTCCAGGCTGCCTAATTCCAGTTTTATTTCAGCTTTTTTTTATTGTCTGTATCCTCCCTTTTAAAAGGATTCAGAGGGGGATGAGGAACGGGGATCAGAGGATCCTACTGTTCTTTCCAGGCATCACCCTGAAACTGCTGCTCTGGGTGGAAGCTGCTCGTTTTTCCAGTTGCTTTGCTTCATTTTTGGGCCTAAAAGCATGTGCTTTCTTTGGAAGGATGGGATGTACCTACTGCAGTCGTACAGGAGGGACTAAGTGTTAAGTCACAACACTTAACAACAGGAATCGTTTTGTGCGTGTCTAAGATTATAGCTATTAATCTAAAATTCAGCTGAGGATGCAAAAATATAAAGAATTGGGGGACAGATTATTAGATTTTTATTTATATTAATTATAATATATTTTATTGAGATTTTTATATCTTATATTAATTTATTTTTAGCAGAGATTCCATCTGTATTATGGGGGGAGATCTTTGAAGATTTCAGCGTATGCTCATATACTTTATTGTAATATTATAATAGCTTAAATACTTATGACTGCATTTCTTTATAAGAAAACTAATTAGTTTTGGTGTATTTCATGGAAATAACAATCTCCTTTTGGGCTTAATGTATTCAGCCTGAGTTAAAAGTCTAATGTAAAACTCCAGTTGGTTGCATTTTTGGCAGTGTTTTTAATAGGAAACTAAACAATGGTTTAATACTTGGAAGCAAAGTGGTTTGTAGCCGTGGGATATAGTGCTTCCATCTCATCTGTAAGAGATGTAACTTCCAGTGGCTGCCAGTTATTTTTATAAAACGTTTTGGGGGATTTTTATTTAAAATCTGCACATTTCCTTGTTTTTAATTCTGAGACAGATGTCAACCACTTCTGTTTTTCTTCATCTAGGCTGAACTGGAAGCATTTGAAAACAGATTAAAAGGGCGAAGGAAGAATAAGAGAAGGAAGGATGAAGTGGAAGTCGAACAATCATTGTGGCAAAAATACAAGAACCTCATCATGCTGCCAGTGTTGGGAGTTGCTGTTGTGGTGGTCGCGTGGCTCATGGTCTACAATGACTGAAAGAACTCAATATTTAATATACCTCAGTCGGGCTGTAGGTAGCTTACTCCTAGAATGTTAGTCTGTGTAACAGAACGTCATAAGCATAGATGGGGTATGGATGGATGTATGCTGTTTGCCTAGAAAAGTGCAGAGGAGGGAAGAAATGTCACCTTTTGTGTTACTACATTCACAGCACAAAACTGGATTCAGACACTGACGGTAATAGCAGATTTTACTCTACACAGAAGTGCTGATGTAATCTGTCTGACTGCGAGCCGTTAGCATCTCTTCTATTAATATATTGTGTTATTTTTCCTTGTCTCCATTTCATAATATTAAAAATAGCTTAGTATAAAATGCTTTATTGAATATTTGTTTCCTGTAAAATCAGTTTAGTGGTTTATAGAAGGTTAGTGTTCTTATGCTAGTCTTTATGTTGTATCATACAATCATTTCTGTGCTTCATGTCAGTCTTAATTACAACTAACGGGGAACTTCAGATCACTGAGGCTTGAATATTCTGGGGCCTCATGTCAGAACTTTGTTCAGAGAAAGGAAATGCGACCTGGCTTTCAAGTCAACTGTATCACAAACAATAAAATGGCCCCTTTACAGACTGTGGGTTTGGGGTTTGGCTGTTGTTTCCCCCTGCCCTCTTTCCTCAAAACCAAACCAGTTGAAAACTTCACGTATCGGACAGTGGCGTACGCTGAGTGTGGATGGGAAGTGGTTCCAGGGCACAGGGCTGGGTTCTCATGGCTGCCAACAGCAGAACAGCAATTTGAAATTGAGCTTGGAGCATCACTTGACTGTTTGTATAGATAAATAGCAGGTTTGGATATTTGCATAGGTGTGCAAAACCATAATTGAACAGCCTAACAATATGTCGTCCTGAAGCCATCTGGATGGTGCTTGCTAATCATGTATAATCTCTCTCTAGCTAATATTTTAAATGCTTAAATATTTTCTTACAGTTTGGAATACCTTGCTTTTGGGGTATCAGTGTTGGTTAATCAAACTGAGAGGTTTATTTACACAGCAACAAGATCATTCGAGAAGCTACACTCCCTCAGCTGAGGGGCTGCAAGTTAAAGTCAGGGGTGGGGGAAGTCAGAAAACAGAATTTTTAAACCTGTGCTGGGAATTTTATGCTGATTTTATACTAAAGTGGGTAACAGAAAAAGAGCTCACAAGATCCTGTGACAGATGAGGTACAAAGCCAAAGGGCATTAGGTTGCCCTTGTCGTTCAAGCATCAAACTCATGGCAAATCCTGCAAAAGCAGTGGGACCGTTCATGTGAATTAACAGAGAGGGCTGCAGTTTGTTTGAAAGCTCATTGGGCTGATTTTGGCCCACTTGTCAAGGGACCCAGTGTTAATTTGAGCTGAGATCCAATTGTAATTATGGTTCAGCAGCAGACAAAACCAGAAAAGCTGCAAAAGGCAGTAGCTTTTAGATTGTGTAGATTGACAAAATGGGGAGATAATAACTTTCTTTTCAATTTTTCACCTAAGTTTCGTGAAAAAGAATAAAGGTAAGGAAAACTTGGCAATATTTAGCATGGATTGGTGCTATTTGATAGTATTTTATGGGTTTTTTAAATTGATTTTTAGAAATGCATACTACTGTTAATGATGTGTCATACATTAGTATGTAAAGTAGAATTAATTGAAATTACACTAGGCCATCATAGTTGCATTTCTGTTGAATTCTCTTATTTTCTAGTATAAGGAATAAACTGTTTTCTCTGTTGTTACTTTAACTCTTTTCTAGAATACTAATGCCTGGAAGATAATTCCATAGAAGTGTTAGTTTCTTTAATTAAGTGAGGTGCTGCTGCTGTGTGACTGCTTCTGCCAGTAACTCCGTCACTAAGAGAAAAGGAAGAGAGATTTTTTGTTCAGCTGAAGTAAAACGTGATACATTGTCCAAAAATACAAAAAAGATACCTTTATAGCTGAAATATGCAGATCAACGTGAATGAGGCCATTCTGGAAACAGCTTTTATCTTACATGACTGTAACTTTTTTTTCTATTTACTGCTGGCATTTTCTTTAAAACAAGTACAATGTAAAGTTTCTCATGGCCTCTACAGCAAACAAAAGAAATCTCTCTCTCCAGAGCTATAAAAATGAACTGCACTTGAGTTATCTGTTTGATGTAGCTCTTATTGCTCTTTTCTCCATATTTTGTGTATTTGTGTGAAATACTGGAGAGGAAAAGACTTCCTTCTCAGTGATCAACTTTATTAGAATAAGAAAGCACACCAATCTTTAATGATTTGTTCCATTCATACAAAAGCGTGTATGAATAGGCATATTCCTGTTCTTAAAGGATTTGTGTCTCTCCTGAACCTCGCATATGTGAGACATACCTATTTTTGAAATTTTATTCAAAATAGTTCTGTGTATCTTATCCAACCCTCTGAGTCATTTGCACTCTTGGTCTGCCTGCTGAACCAGATATTTGTTTCTTGGCATTAAAAAAAAGCGTGTGGGTTCGAGCAATCTGCAGTTTAATAAATCACTGGTTTCTATTTGCTTTTTAAAATTATTTTCACAGTTAATTTTTTTTTTGGGTGGAGCTGCATGTTGCAAGCACGACAACCTTTGAAGTAAAAGCTACATATGGAATCACCTGGTCAGTATACGTGAAAAATTGTAATTCTGGAAAGGAAATACTGAACTGAAGGTAGGGGTTCTCAGCAATTTAAATGTAATGTACTGTTACATAGTGTAATGAGCAAATATTTTTTAACAGTTTACAAAAAAATGCATATAGATAAGTATATGTTAAAAGAAATCATATAATCTGACCTGCTGTTGGGGAAATTATAGAGATGTTGTGAGGATACGTAGCATGCAGAATATTTAGCTATGTATAAAATGAAAAAAAAAATTGGGGAGTTTTTCCTTCTTCTGAATGCATTCTGGTGAGCATTCATCTTTCTGCTGAACTAAGGTGCTTTCAAGTTGTCAGTATACTGTGGATTGGAAACTCCTTGGACAAGTTTGTTCCCTGTAACAATAACAAAGCCATTGTGTATGTTAATTTAATGTAAAAACTGAGTCAGACAATAAACGCATCAAAAACAACTTGAAAAGTGGTTTGTTCTGAAGGATTGTTGTGGCAAAGCAGCAGAGTTCTCCCGGGCAGTGAGGGGAGACACAGCGCAGTGGAAGTTTTAAGCATGTGTTTTTTGTGCTTCATGAGTGTAAACTGTTGTATTCATGTCTGCCCTTAGCATTCAATTAAATCAACCAATTGCTCTAAAGAGTTATAAAATACAGATACCGTCACGGTCTGCATTTACTAGGAAGGGAAATGTAAAAATTAAAGAAAAATCAAATGAAGTCAAAATCAGATAAGCAAGCACGTCTTGTTATCTTTTCTTTCCACTAATGGTTACATGTTAATGAATTATTTGGACTCTGCATTAAAATGTTTATATGCCATGCTACCAGAAAACAAACTTCTGAGATGGGTAGTGTATCAGTATGAGCTCTGGGATATATTAAAGTCAGTCATAAAGCAGGCTAAATGGCAGCTGCGTAGAAATAAGTCTTACTCTGAGGGAACTGGGGCTTAATTCAGCCAAGTATTATTTAATCTCAAGAATTGTTTCTCATACAGTGATTTCTGTGAAATTGCCAACAAAACCAGAACTAGGATTTCTCTGTGCACTGAACACTGGGGCTGAATCTTGTAGCTGTGACACTGCAGTTTGAATGGATCCCCCACTTGAGGATGAGATTAGGAGTCGAGATTGGTTTGGGGTCTGGAATTCACGGTGCTACTGGTGAAGAGAATCATATCACAGAATATCATAGAATGGTTTGGGTTGGAAGGGATCTTAAAGATCATCTAGTTCCAACCCCTAGCCCTGAGAGGGGGTTGGCCATCCAAGGGCAAGCTGGCTTTGCAGTCTGAGCCACGTACTGCCCCTCTTGGGTTACAGTTGTCAGTTGTTGTCAGTTGTTCCTATTGTAATTTTTGACAAGGCTAACATCTCTGTAAAATACTGTAATTAATGAATTACGGTTTGATTCCTCTTCTTATCAGCTTTGCAGCTTGAAATATTTGTTGCTTTACATTCAGCAATTGGAAGGTTTTGCTTAAATGCTCTTGCTTCTGTCTCTTTCCTATCGTTTGTGCAATTGTTTTGAAACAATTGTTTTAAAAACAAAACCACTGCTTTCCTCTAGAGTGGTCTTTGCTTGGTTGGGTAAGAAAATTAGCCTGAGCTAATTGATGTACAGTGGCACTCAGGAAGCACAAAGCAGCACCCAGACAAGCTTGCACACAAACAGCTAGTGACAGGGCCTAAATCTGAAGGTATGGAAATAAGAATAGCTGGAGAAGCAGCTGGAAAAAAGCTGGGAAGATGGACTTGTCTTAGATATATATAAACAAACTCTATATAGGAGGGGTATCATCCTTACTGATAGCCACGAGTGCCAATCAGGGATAGAAGCCACATTCATGTCAAGGGAGTTGTTCACATTTTTAGGGTGTTTCTGACTCGCGTTTTGAACGACAGCGTTTCAGAAGCACTGAAACACACACAGTGAAAAGGGGAAGCCTCTCTGGTGTACATGTCATCTCAGAACCCAGGGACAGCTCTCCATAGCTCCTGGAAGGGTGCTGAACCCCTTATATTCTGGTAGCGCCCGCTTCTACCCCTCAACCATGTGCTTTTTGTGCTGTTGACTTGGTCATTCTTGGATAGAGCTTGCGAGCTCCGTTAAGTGCGCAGACTCGGGCTTCAGTCTGAGCCCGCATCTTTGAATGCGGTTACAGGGAAGAGAGGAAAAAAAAAAATACATCAAAAATACGAGTCTTAAAAGCTGATTTCTCATGGGGGTGGGGCATTTGCGCTGTCACTTGCAGCTGCAGGCGGCACTTGCCTCCTGGCAGGAGAGCTTTGCTTCCAGAGGTTGGTAACAACCAGCGCAGCCCTCCAGCTCTCCGGTCCTTGGGGTGGGGAAGGGCCGGGACAGGTGCAGCGTCCCCGCCACCGCCGCGCTCCGGGGCAGCGCTTCCTCGCGTGGGAAGGACGGGGCGCGACGGGCTTGCGTGTACCCCCCTGCCGGGAAGGAAGGAGCTGGAGAAACCTGTCGTCGGCTCCGAGAGCTTCCTCCCGCCGGAGCCCCATCCCCTCCGCTTCTGCTGTGCCGGCGGCAGCGCCCGGCGCCGCTTCCAGCCTTCTTTTTGGCGAGAGGGAGGATCGGCCGGGGAAAGGCGAGCCGCCGTGCCGCGGGGGGAAAGCGCTGCCGGCCCCGCAGGCGCCGAACTTCCTACCCCCGGGGTGAAACGAAAGCCTTTGCGTGACCGTAACGTAAAATAAAGAGCATCCAGCGGGCAGGCGGGACCTCCGGCGCCACGGAACCGCGGATGGATGGACCCGGGAGCTCAGCCCGGGCTTGCCACCCGCCGCTCTGAACTCCGCGCACCATCCAGCTGGGTCGGTCAGTCGGTGCCCCGCGGTGGCTCCGGATCGCTTCAGGCGCAAAGTGCGTGTCCGGGCGGCCCGCGGCAGAGCCCCAGCGAGCTAAGGTAAGGGTGCGAGGGGCGAGCTCCGCCGGCTTCTGGCCCGCACATCCATCCTCCCCGGGTCAGGCTGTTCTTGCCACCTGAAGCCCTTCGCGGCGTGATGAGCCGTCCTTCATCGGGGGGGTAGAGAGGGGGGCAAAGGCTGTGCCCACCTCATCCGCTCTCAGCGGGGAACGGCTTTAGGGCGAAATTAGCAAGTGGGCTGGCTCTCAGCTTGTCCCCAAGGGGTAGAGCCTTGTGTGCAAAAGGGGTGGGGATGTGGCGGCTTTCTCGCCGAGGTTTATTATTATTGGGTGGAGGAGGGGGGAGGGGGAGTCTGCCGAGCAGACAAAATGCGGAGCCCCCCCCCGCCCCGCAAAGCGTGTGTGTGTGTGCGGGAGGCGGGCGGCTGCGGCTCCTCGGAGACCGAGGTAGAGAAGGGTGTCGGGGGCGGCCGAAGCGGAGAGGGTGCAGCAGCCGGAGCATGCTCTCCATGCAACAGTTCCCTGCCCTGCCTGCGGAGGAGGAGCGCTACCGGCAGGTCCTCTCCGCCAACGGGGTAAGGCGAACCCGAGGGAGCTCCCCTCCGCGGTGGAGCCGCCTGGGGACCACGGGGCCGGGGGCTTGCGAGGCCGGCTGCCTCCGCCGCTCGGCGACCCTCCGGGGAGAAGGGGAGCGCGGTCCCCGGTCCGGTGGGGGGTCCCCGTGCGCTGCCGCCGAGGGGCAGGTCGCTGGGGTAAGCGGAGAAGGGGCGAGCCCCACTATCTGCCCTAGCGAGAGCGGACCCTGGCTCGTAGGCAGGGACGGTGCCGTGACCCGGGGGTCCGGGGGTGAGTGACCGCCCGCACCCAGCTGGCCGTCCCGGGGCGCTCCGGTGGCGCTACTTGCGCGGGGACGGCCGAGTTCGGCGGCGCGGGATGTAGGTGAGTCGCAGTGAACAACCGGCCGGCGGTAGCGTTTCACCGGGAGCTTAGTGGCACCCGCTCCCCTGCCCTTTCGCAAAGTCAGCGGCGAAGATCGTGGGGACCGATGCGCCTGTTCGTCGCTCCGGCGCGGGAAGGAGCGGGGAGGAGTTGCGCCGAGCCCGACGGCAACAGGTCCGGCCGGGGTCTGCGAGAGCAGAGTTGGGGCTTGGCCTCCGGCGGGACGGCCGGGGCGGCTCCACCGGCGGCCGAGGTACTGGGGAGCCGCCGCACCGTTACCTCATCCCCGGCGCGGTAAGCTGCCTCGCCTCGGCTGCAGGCTGGGGTCGGTCGCGGGGCAGCGGTTGCGGTGCGGGGCCGGGAGGGCGGGCTCCTCTCCCCGCCCGCCGGAGCGCTGAGCCTGGCGCTGTAGCACCTGGAGAGGGCGGCGGAGCCTCCCGCGCTGTCACGGCGGTCCCCACGCTGTCACGGGTGTCCCCCACGGCACCGGCACGGCGCGGCAGCAGGTTTCGCAAGTTTTCTTGCAAACACGGCGCTGTACCTCGGGACCGTCGCCGCTCCGCTTGATTTAAAATGCAGAACCCTTGGACGCGTTTCGTGGCAGGCGATTAATTAATTAACCTTTACTTTAAATTATTAGCAGTCTGGCCGAGATGGCGAAACTCTTAAGTGAAATCAAATATCTGGAGCTTTTAATGCATTCGCGGCGTCTCTTGGGAAGGTTTAGCTTTCAGCAGTAAAAATACGGGAATGGATTTTTCCATATGGTCACTTTCACCCTTCCTGTGTTCCTAAAAGGTGGACCAGGCAGCAGGAGTAAATTTTAATTCTGTAATTTTGTTTTTGTAATGGAGTTGGAGATCTCCGTTACAAGCTTCTCAGGTACTGCCACACGGTGTCGGATTAATGTACCACTGAGGTAATCCAAACAACTATAAAGGAGTTACAGACCCACTCTGTTTATGTGTCCCTGTGAAAGCTGGTGACATCTCCTGAGTGTTTTGGACATCGAGGTTCTGTAGGAAGCTGCGGGCTCCTCCAGGGAACAGGGGAATCCCGAACAATGTCCAGTCCTCCCGTAGAAAGGGATTTATGACTTTTCTTCCCTCCTTCACCAGCCACTTATGGGGTACCCCAACAGCCAGGTTTTTCTGCCAGTGGGGAAGCCCAGACCTTCAAACTCGCATATAATGGTCACCCAGCAGGCGTTTTTTAAGCCACCAGTACTCATTTCCCTGAGGAGGCTCTTGGGGTGGTGAGCCAGGCAGCTGTGCTCACTTGCCCAGGTGAGAGAAATCTGCTTGTGCTCTGTTAGTATCTGATAGGACCATCAGAGCAACACATTGTTTTTCCTCAGTCTTTTGGAGCTGGGACTATAAAATACTGAAGAAAGCATTTGCTTCCTCTGCAGAGATCTTTGCTGGCGCTCGACTGTGTGCCTGTGGTAGATAACTTGAGTGTGCAGTGAATGGGAAGTGTAAGATGGTTTGAAATGTGTCATGATTAAAGGTGCTTTATAAAAAGTGCAGTGTGCACACGGCAATTTAATGTATCTGTGTTATTGTTTAGCTGTTAACTATGTATTAGATGATGTCTGCAGATACAAATGAAACTCCAGGACTGTTAACAGTGCCAGTAATTATTTAAAAATGCAGGCTTACTTGAATGTAGGAGGGAGTTTTTTTGGTGGTTTTATTTTTTCCTAAGCTGGTATACATTTTTAGGTCTTAGCACTCGGCTCCCTCGAGGAACACAACTGTCCTGCTGTTATATTAGGTCCATGTATTGCCAGAGACATCCTTTCTTGTCATTATTTGCGTGGCCAAGCGAGGAGCGTGCGCAGAGGCTGAGGTGGAAAAGCACCCAGACAGAAATCCTATTTACCAGGAGGGGAATGGTCCTTCCAGGACAAGGCGGAACAGGCAGGGGAACGTTGGGAATGTTACACCCAGTGAAGAAACCCAGTGGCCTCTGCTCTCACTTCTTTTCAACTGGTCTAACCAACAAATGCCCTCCAAATAAGCCCTTTGTACACCAGCGGGATGACAGTGCTTCCACTGGTGTGGCCGTTTGGGCTGTGTGAGTCTTTGCCACACTAAGACCCAGCAGGTTCAGGCCACCTCAATACAGCAGGCATGATATCAGCACTACAGGCACTTCCTTAAGAGATGGGTCATGGTCCCCACCTGGACCAGGAGGCTGTGGATACCACTTCATCTGCTTTCAGGCTGAGCAGCACACGCTGTGAGGCAGTTACACGCAATGGCACTGTCTTCTGGTGTGGTCAGGCTTTAAAAGATGGCGGTTACTGCTACATCGTGTGGGAAGAGTTGAATCCCGTCAGCATGTCAGGTATCCTCGGCAAGCGCTGTTTACAGGGCCAGATGAATGCCTTGTTTCTGAATGCCAGCCAGGGTTTGGCAGGGGTGGGTGTCAGCCCACTTGCAGCTGGGCAGTTCTAGACTTGCACATGTAGCCTAGGCCCTGCCAACTGTGGCGGCCAGCCACCTCCTGATTTTTAAATGCCTTCAGGATGAAGCAGCTGAGCAGCAGGGCTTGAGGGAGGAAGTCTGATTACAGTTTGAAATACTGATGTTTCTTCCCTGTCCCAGTTTCTTTCCCTACTGAAAAGAAATGGACCTCATAACTGGCAGGCTGGGTAAGTACAGTTCTCCAATGCCAGGGGAGACAGGTGGATGATATCCCTTAGTGAAGTCACAGTAGGACAAGAAAAGCTTAAATCCTCCTTGAAAAGGTCTTCATGCACAGAACAACCTCAGAAGACAGTGGCCAGACAGGCTCCAGCTTGACCACTCTCATTGCCTCTGTATTTTTAATTCTAGTGACCCTTTGCAGTCAATTTTTTTCATGTGAGGAGGTGTGGTTTTTGTCTTGAGCTGTCCTGAGCCTCAGTCTGGGTGCCAGGGTGTAAGAGTCCCCCTCCACTTGCTGGTATCTGTAACTGGAGCAGTTAATAATGTGTGTGAGGCAGGTCCTCGCTTCCTGAAAGGCTGCATGAGGAAAAATGAGGGGGGGAAAAAGAGGGAAGGAAGAGCGCCTGGGCCTTGGCTAGGTGGCTTGCCTCTCTGGCTCAGGTCGAAGCCTCCGTGTCCTCCGGCCGGCCCGGGCTGCCCCCTCTCCCCCGGCGGTGAGCGGCGGCGGGGCGGGCTGGCGTGCCGCGGCGCTGGGGGTTTCCCCGCCACAGCCGCCTGGCCCGGCTGTCCTGAGGGAGGCGGCGGGGGGGGGGAAGGACACTCGTTCATGGGTGCCTCTCCCAGTCCGCAGCCCCGCGACCGAAGAATATGATGCCGGTCGCATCCCTTCCGTCTGTCCTCCGCCCCTCTATAAATAACTCTTGCTGGGCTGACCTGTCAGATTCCCCCGCCGGCAGCGCGGATCCTCTGACCCGGGGCCGCCGGCAGTGGAAAGTCTGAATGCGAAAAATACCGTAGTAAAAATAGAGCAGCCGGGGAGCCCCGGTCCTAGCGCCGGGACCCGGTGGCTGTCGGTGCCCCACCGGCCCTGGCACCGCCGGTTCCCCTCAGGCTAACGGCTCCTTCGGCGCGGGGGGCTCCCTCAGGCTAACGGCTCCCCTCGCGCTGACCGCTGTCCTCGCGCCGATGGCTCCCCTCAGGCTAACGGCTCCCCTCGCGCTGACCGCTGTCCTCGCGCCGATGCCTCCCCTCAGGCTAACGGCTCCTTTGGCGCGAGGAGCTCCCCTCACACTCACGGCTCCCTTGGCGCCGACCACTCCATCTCGCGCCGGTAGCTCCCCTCAGGCTAACGGCTCCAAGGGCTCCCCTCACGCTGAGGAGTCCCCCTCGCCATTCTGGCTCTCCTCACGCTGGCAGCTCCCCGGTGCTGACTGCCCCCTGTCAGGCCGATGGCTCCCCTCACACTAACAGCTCCTTTGGGGCAAAGGGCTCCCCTCATGATAATGGCTCCCCTCACGCTAACGGCTCCTTTGGTACGTCGGGCTCCCCTCATAATAGCTAACAGCTCCCCTCATATTAATGGCCCCCCCTGCCGTGAAGGGCTCTCACCTCCTGCCGCCCAGGCCTGTGCCGCCTCAGCTCTGTGTGGTGTACGGCACTTCCCCCCTGGTCCCCGTATCCAAATCGCTGTGTGCTTTAATACCTTAATGGTGACTGCTTTTCTCCTTTTTTAACTGTCAGATGGAAGCATAATTCATTTCTGCTATTCTGCTGTGGAACAGGTAGTTCCCTTCCAAGTAGTGTTTCTAATTTCAGCCTGTCTCTCTAATCAGCAAACAGGAAAGAAATAGGCATAATGGTTTAATATCCTAAATGTAAAAATAATAATGAGACAACAATCAAGCAGGAGCTTGTAGTTTCAAAAAGAGATTGAAATCTTTCTATCTCTGAAGCCTGAATTAGATTTCATCCTGTGCCTGCCTCACGCAGAAGACTGTTCCCCTGAAGGGATAGATACTTCTCAGCTGTGGCTTCAAGCCACTGTAATTTAAGGTGATGCTTGTAATTATTTATTTATACATATGCTGATATTTCTGATTGTTCTACCTGTGAAATCTGGGTATCTGATCACCATCCCAGGTGTCTCAGACCTGCAGCTTTGCATCCATGTAATAATATAGTATATATCTGTAATTTACAGT